ATCAAATGTATACAGTTTAAAGCCTTTATTATTCAAAAATAAGATAAGATGTAACTATTCACCGCACAGTTTTATGCAAGGGATATTTTTTAATAAATTCGGTATATGAGAAAATTCATATAGGTACAGCTGTACACTAGGTACCAAGCCCTCCCAATGCCATATGCTTTGCCAAACATACGTCGTTTATGATTGATACTCAACATGTTTCACTATAGAGCAAACACATAGTAGCAAGACGTAATGAATACTTGTGCAGTGAAATCAGGTTTAAATAGATTTCACAAAAAAAAATAAAGCAATAGTAAAATACAATAGAAATCAACTGTATTTTATTTTGTGTATAAAATGAACTGAAGATCCTGGAATTGAGTAAAAAAAAGAAGAGTATTTATACATTTGCAACTAGCTTGTAGGATTAGTGATGATAAAGAGCAATAGGTTCTGCTATTGCGATATCTGGCAAATGTTGTTGATGTTTGATTTAAAGTGGTAATCAATGCAGGAGCACTCGCCATAAGGGTCGATTTGAGTAACCTTGATGGGCTTGGGTGAGCTATCGTCATAACATAATTTAATGTAACCTTGATGGTTTAAGGTGTGATGTTTGTTACTGAAGTATGGAATTCTTTATCTGGGATATTGTGCAACTATGGCAGTAGGAGGGCATAGTTGTCATATTTGAATATGCTTGTTATTGATTTGATTCTATTTGGATAAAGATACCATCACTTATTACGACCATCATGGGTGTGATTGAATACACTGTGATCAGGAGCGATTCATTCGCACAATGTGCGATATAAGCATGCATCTTTACTTTAGTATTTTTAAATGGTTTTTTAATGTACATTTGAGCGCTTTCATTAATATATCCAAATAGCATGAATTTGAATGAGTGCTATTTGATGAACTTTGGTTTTCAATTAAGTTGCGTTTGGGTGGCTATTTCATTACAACTTGGTTGAGTTGGCATTTGTACAGATAGTAGCGTCGAAACACTGGTCTTTTTATGTTGGTTTACTTTACACTTTACCCGCTATAATTATTCGGCAATCAATGCAGTAACTGAAAATTCCTTTCTATGATTAAAACCCCCTCAAATTATGCATACCATCTTTCTGATATAAAGTCGCTACCATCAACATAGGGTGCGAAAACTCTGTTCCCTTTTCTTGTTGAGATGCGCAGCACAAACTTCAACCTTTGCCAAACCACAATGAAGCAAGATATCAACAAACGGGTTTGAATACAACGTTTCCCAACCCCTATCCCATTGGTCTATGGCTCGTCATCACTTGTAGTTTAGAAGTTACGTATGGGGATGATGCAGAATTTGCCTAGATATTTGATGTTTTACCAGTGTTGTTCAACATTACAGTGCCATCGAGAAGGCTACTTCACAGCTATCTTTGGTAGTATTATCATAACCTATTTTTTTTTTGTCGTACACTCTTGTTCATCTCAATAGTATGCAAGATGATATATAAATAATATTTAGATGCCTACTTTTATATTCACTACTTGGCTATAATAGTATCCGACATATACATTTGTATGGTCGCCATCAAGTAGCAGGTTGTACGAGTTATGAATTCTTCAAGATTCTAATTTACATCACATAGCCATACCATTAGTACGGCTTTCAGAATTACACTTTTGGCATATCCAATTTGTCAATAAAATAGGTAGATGGATATTGTGTCCCTGTGTCATGAATGTGGTGATCTTTGTTTTGCAGCTCGTTTGAATAACTTTTCTAATGCTCCGGTTGCTCTTCTAGGGCTATCAAAATGTTTATACGCTTTTCTGGGAAAGGTGCATCCTAATTTGAGGATATCAGTACATCTAATTTTACAATGAACTAGCTCGTCTTCTATTACATAGTATTTATGCTTCTTTTTTGCTAAACGTAATAAAGTAGCAGTTCAAATCAAAGAGTTGATATCTATGATTTTGACGAATAAAACAAATGTAACCAGTTGAGGGTCAAAAAATCTATGAGTGTAGCTATTCATCGCTTTTTCAGGGAACAAGGGTGATTGAGTAAGAGGCTATAATGATACAACACATTGATCTTGTCGACTGAGCATCGTATGGTTCGCAAATCTGTATTTGCACTTGCCAAAACGTAAAACTTAAATGTACTACTACTAAATGAGGGTAAATCAGAATCACTAACATGTCACCATTTGATGGTATAATAAAAACCGGTTGTAAATCAATTTCCTTCTCTCTTTGATCATTGTAGCACGCATGCTGATGCTAGTCAACGGATAAAGAACAAAAATACGATGATCACCTTAGCAACGGCCAAGAGACGCAGTGTTGTGTATGTCAAATGCAATATGCAATTAGAACATTTTAGCTGGCTGTCAACTTATAATCGTAAATGAAAACTCATCAGGGCTATTCGATCCCATCATTTGCATCTAGTGATAAGTTATAGTTAAAAAGGCTTCGCATGGATTGCATGCTGGTTACAGTAAACCAATTCAAATGCCTTATTTTGGGACTCGTGAGCATGTTTTACAAATCAAGTCAATATAATGTCGATTGAGCTTGATGTGTCATTGATCACTGTTGACAGGGACATTTTAGCATCTGCGCGACCATGATGGAGATGTCGGGAGCGGCACTGCATCCCAAGTTGGGTAAAGCATGTCTCTTTTGATTAGTCCGTTTACTACGGCACAGGTTCAAATCTCGCAGTGCCTCGGTTTTTCATATGTAGTGGATCAAGTTCCTAATTTCGTTCATCTGTATCTCATGACAATTTGCATGTAAGGAGCATCTTGGTCGAGCTGACACTGCTAGTGTGTCAAGTCTGCGTGCGCCGCGGGTGGCGGTAAATCCTTCTTTGTTTCCTGGCTTCGGGCCACAGTTCTTATATAAAATTCTTAGAGTTTCGATTTATCAGTTCAATAAAAGACAACTTTAAATACAAAAAAAAAAAAAAAAATGATGGAGATGTCATGCTGAATAGCTCTTTTTAGATATTCCCATTTGCGGAGGCAAGAGCGACAACGGCCAGTTTATGAAGTTCTTTATAAAGTGCCATCTAGCTTTTATCATGAATCTTTGCAAGCACCTGTTTTATAAATTCAATGTATAGCAAACTTGGAGACAATCAAGACTTTGCCCTATGTAACAGTTTTGTAGGTGAATTATATTTCGTGGCACCCTTGCAGCCTCGGTATCCTGGCGACCCTGTTTTTTTTTGTTACAAAGCAACCAAGATTTGCGATAAATTGTGGAGTTGTAATCAACATGTACTAAACGACTTAAATTTAGATAGAGTTACACGGCATTCCGTTGCATTCAAGCTCTTTTCGTAGAGCAAATACCTTATTTTTGCGAAAACCCATATTAAGTGTGCATTTTACGAACAAAATGCGACCTGAATAGCTAAAATGCCAATCGATTCACACGTATAAAGTATGAAAAAATGCTGAAAGGTGTTTGATGAGAGTACATGGTATCTAAGATGGCGCAATAATCCCCGTCTAATTAGGGACAATAGCAATCATTTGGATATATTTTGTAAATCGACTGTTTGAAAAGCTAGTGGGGAAGAATCTGGAATATAGTATAATAGTGTCTCGAAGTTTATCTCGTTTCTGTTACTATGCATTTAGGAGGTGTATGACGTTGGCATTACTTATGACTAAACGAGAATGTACCTCTGAGGACCGCCGGTGGTTTTTTGTGATCGTAATTGATGCTCTTTCATTGACAAATAAAGAATCTTATCTCTGGAATCAGTCTGATTTACGCCTATCAACTACAGGTACTGAAAGAGCCACGCAGCGATTACCGCAAGACGACATTGTTTATTTCGACTTTACTACTTTTTTTTTTTTTAGCAAAATAGCGTAGCAATCTCATTTTTCTCTCTGCTTCGATGGACATGTCCACAAACTTCCAAAGAGAGAAGCGTGGAAAGGAAGTTCAGCCGCAATCTCACAGAATACAGGTTTATCTTTACTTCTCTGTGAAATATAGAACACAGGGAAAAAAGTGTATAGTCAAAGATACATCTGTTGTGATACAGTTCCATTCAATGGAGATTGCCAAGTAGAGAAAACCATGTGGGAAATCTATAACCAAAGCTGTCTATATTTGAGTTTTAAATCATCGCAAAAGAGCTTATCTGGCTGGTTCCTTGTGCTTCCAGAGAAAGGTACATCTCATCTATCTATTTAATGAGCCATCGTTCTAGAAGAACGATAGATGAAATACATTTTGAACAATTGATGCTCTGCTGTAAATGAGCTAGATCCCAAACTTAAGGTTTTTCTATTTCAGTCTTTTGTTTGGCAGACAGGGTTTGATTGATTTATTCATCATCTTCTAATTGCCTTCTGAATTCTTTCTACAAAAAAAAAGGCACACAGCGCAATACTATCTTTCTTTTTCTCGAGTCGCACTTGAGCTGATAAAGTTACGATTATTCCCAGTAATGATTGCGAAAACTCGGATAAAGATGGCTCAGAGATGTTAGTCATGATAGTAGTAGTATAAATGCCATTATAAACGATTCCCGGACAGTCAAATTTCAAGTGTGCTTGGAAATAGAGAAGAGTTATAGTTTGCTTCTATAAAACACATGGGGTTCGAAATCATGAACCATTCTGAGATGCACGCTCCAACTGCATCAGTAAAAATACATTCGATCTTTTTTGCAGCATGGTGAAATATCATGAATGAGAAAGCAGTTACACAATAATAGGAGGCGATCAGCACCAACAAAAAAATGAAACATTAGATACCTGATTGGAGGTGAGTAGCAAGAGGGTGCAAAATAAAGGTACCCTTACTATTTCGAGATGAGGATTTCTTGATGTAACAAAAGAAATTGCTATCTTATCCTTTTTTCCTCCAGCTTTGCTTTCCTCTTTTTTTTTTTTTTTTTTTTTTTTTTTTTCTCTATCCTCCAAAAAGAAAAAAAGTTTCAAACTGTTCAAATACAATCAGATTATACGAATTTACAAATCACTATGGGGAATGAACAATCAAGGCCAGCATCAGTGAACTCACCGGATACCCCAGTTAGTTACCCTACAGTTGTCAAGACAAAAACTGCTACTAAAAAGCCTCAACCGTATGCCTCCTCATTTTTCGATACTCATATGGCAGTGCCATTACCGCATCAATATGCTCGAAAACCAAACCGACCTGCTGGGAACATTAACTTTTTCGAAGTAGCGGCAGCAACTGCTCAGCCCGCCAGATCAACGCATTCAAACTCTTCTTCAAGATCATCTATCAAAACAGCATCCACAAATAAGAATTCTTCTTTATACCCTTCATCGTCTCATAACAATAGCACCCGAGAAAAGAAAGTGCTTTCTCCAGCCAGCTCTTCTGCATCATCCATTGCCAGCACTACTGTTCAAACCGAAAACATAGCATCCATCAAAGCATCAAAAAGCGAATTGATTGCCGATGCATCCGACTATGTTATTTTACATAACAGAAGATACTGGAAAGGTCATGGCACGCAACACTTCATGCTCCCTTGTGACGATGATGAATCAGACCGTTTGATGACAATGGTATATAAGCATGATGCCCTCTAGATGATACACATGAATGTTAAAGACTTTTTGCTCTGATTATAGCATTATATCCTAAAAGCTACTTTCCATGGCAATTTCACTGCTCCCGTGTATAACATGTTGGAAAACTCCAAGCACAAGACCAAAGTATTGGATATAGGCTGTGGATCAGGCACTTGGTATGTTTCATGGCATTATCTTGAAAAAAACCATGAGAAATATACTGATATTAATTTCATATTACCACAGGATCCTTGAAATGGCAACGGAATTCCCAAATACAGGTAATTTTAATATGCCCACCTTTTCATTGAGCCGCCAATGCTAACTTAATTTACAGAGTTTTATGGCATTGATGATTGCCCACTATTCCCAACTCATATCAAACCAAGCAACTCACACTTCTTGCTGCACAATATCCTCAAGGGATTACCGTATCCTGACAACGAATTCGACTATGTACATATGCGTATGATGATCTTTTATTTCTCGCCAGAGGAACTGTCTCTATTATTGACCGAAATATCAAGAATTATGAAGCCTGGTGCTTATTTCGAGATTATGGACACAAGCTATACAATTCGCCATGCTGGCCCTATATCAAATCAGGTGGTGAATAACGACTGTAAGTATACCAATTCACACACACACACAAGAAATATAAACTAATCCTTTGACATGATAGTAAAACAAATGTTTCATTCAGGCAGCGCATCATTAGCATTCAAAGCTCAACACGAATCAAACACAAATCATCCAATTTTCAGCTTTTTGATGGTCGCTCCACAGAAGCCTGCAACATCGTTCGTTGGTAACTTTATTGATATCTGCCAAGAGCACGCAACATTACCCATTGGCGGTTGGGGAGGCGGTCAAATTGGCAATTTGCATGGCTTGAACTTCAAATCATTACTACAGTCCATTGAAAGTAAACACGACCAAGAACTGCCATTGAACAAGAGCGTAGTCGATAGCATCCTTGAAGAATGTGAACGACATAAATCTTATTTGGATTGGTATGCGTGTTATGCAAGAAAACCCCCATTGGAAGATGAGCAAATTGAACAAAGCACGCTTGATTCCATCTATGAATTCGTTGAAGGATTCGTTGATGTGTAATAAAATCTCTTCTTTTTTTTTTTGTACCATATCATTCTTGCTGACTGTTCGACCAAGATAAATATACATCATTTCTCACGCATCGTGAACACATACTCAAATTAAATGCTTGATTGTAATTCCCTTCCCTGAGAAGAAAGTGCTGTAGAGATACTAAACACAATGAGGCACCGCCAAGTCAGATCATCACTTTAAATGGCCATCTTCACAAGCAGCACTTGTCCAACACGTCCCGAGTCAAACCATAAGCATGGTCTTTGTTCAGTGCGCTGTTAGAGCATTGTCTGATCTCTAGAAACATCTAGCCATGGTTGGATACACTCAGCTACTGCATCATTCTACAAGCACGACACCCTGCTGCAATTCATGCGAGAAAAAAAAAACATGAGCGAGCCAGTTGTTTAAGCAACAAAAATACCAAATGTGTATTTTGGATGCAGGCGATCGCATTTACACAAGTTTTGAGTTATGAAAACGCATGGTGGCATCGCAAATTCATACAGAGAATGCACATGTAAAAAAGCGGACATTGGATTTGTTGTGGGGAGATCATATATGATGTGACATTAGAACAGATAGCAGTTAACGATGGATGTAGATCGAATTGATATTTATTTAGAAATGTACTAGTTATGAAAAAAGAAAAAAGATATTGAATAATGAGTAGAAATAATAAAAAATGTAGTAAATGAAAAAAAAAAAAAAAACTATTGAGATTTAGAAGTAAGAGCTCTATGTGCCTCGGCTAATTGAGCTTCAAGGACACGAATACGATCTTCAAGACCTTTGTCTTTAGAGATAAGAGCACTCTTTTCCGACTCGAGCACGGCAACACGGGTCGTGAGTCGGGAGTTATCACTCTCTAACTCTGTCACTTGCTTCTCCAAGGTTTCCATTTTGATGATCTTCTTGAGACGAGAACGACGAGCAGCATCAGTATTCTTTTGACGCTTCTGAGCAGCTTCGTCACTATCTTGTTGGTTTTCAATCTTGCGCTTCATTGAGTTCATGTTTGGTGTAAAGACAGTTCCGCCAGGACGAGGAGCAATGGGGATGGCAGTCTTGGGCATGATGGCAACAGGTGCAGGCTTGGGCGCCACTGGAGCCAGACGACGAGGCTGTTGAGTTTGCACTTGAACAGGTCTTGGAGCTGGCGATTGAGCAGTAGCGCTGTTGGCAGTATTTAAGATGTCAGGGAAGAGAGCAACCAAGGCTTCAGCAGAGACGACCTCATTTTCTTGATCAGAGACAGGACTTGCAGTCAAAGGAGGAGAAATGGGTAGTAATTGGAAAATGTCTTGGAAGGCATCAGATTGTTGTTTCAAGAAGAGATCATTGCTGTTGGAAGGGATTGGCGTGAACCAATCGTCCATAGATGGAGAGTTGGAAGTGGTAGCAGAGTTAAAGACTTGAGCAAAAGCTTGATCTTGCTGAGTCATGGGAGTGATGGGGCTAGAATAGCCACCAGCAAAAAAGTTGGGATTAAATGGTGTGGTCATGGTTTTCTTGGTTTCTAAGATTTTCAGATGGGGTAGTTGGGAGTATTATCAGTTTTTTTTCTGTTGCAGGTAGATGGTTCGTCTGTAGTATAAGAGAAAAAAGGCTTGCTGGGACGAGGGTTGAAGAGCAGCATTTTTGGGGGACAATCAAAAAGCATATTTAACAAATTTAACAAATTAATCAATATTTAACAAGATATAAAATTGATTCAAATAACAAAGGGGGGAAAAACGACAAGAGAATTAAAAGGCAACCATTTTTAAACAGTGGAAATAAAAGTGAATAGTGTTTAAAGAAATAGTTGAAAGGGTTAAAAAGAAGAAGAAGAGGAAATACAAGGATGGCGCTCACTCCTCCCTTTATTTATAGTCTGTAAGATAGCAAGATGCTCCAATTGCTGATTGGTTAACCCGCTATTGCTCATAGCTGAAACTTGGGATTCATTGGTTAACCTTTATTTGTTCCTTTACAAATGATTTCCATATGGGTATTATCATCAAAAAAATTTGCATCTACTATTGATCCCCTGTGTGTTTGTCGTGTGTGCGTGTGTACATCCCACGCTGTTATTATTAACAATATTTGTGATTACTTTATCTCTACGAACCAGCAATTTTTGATACGTTTCTTGGTAACAAATGGCTTACTGAATCTCGCCTCCAATTGGCGTTTCCTTATGAACCCAATATCCTTCTTGTGCATATCGTCATGTCCATCTTCAATCCAATTCAATGCCGTTGTACTTTTCAACACATTCAGTATGCGATGATGCTTTTGATTTGGCTGCCATTTCTTGATAATTTTGGGGTTTGATTTGATAATCAAATTTGTTTCCTCATACACTGGCTGATCCAGATTCAAGAGTGGCTTTTTCGCTTGTATTTGAGACACCTTATCACTAATCATGGCGCTATTTTGAGTTCCAGAAACAAGCATCTGCCGTGACACCGGAGCTGCGGTCTCCAATGGTTGCTCTTCCTCATCCTGTTCAATATCCATCAGTTCTTGATCTTCATCGCTCTCTGATTTGTCGTCATTGGATGGCACTGTTGTATCATCAGGTGGTATATTGAGATGTGTTTCTTGTTGATCTTTTGCCGGTATTGGGCTCAGCTGTGGGCTGCCGGCGGTTAAATCGAGGGATAGTGGAATTTCCATTTGATTCAGCTCGTTTTGATGAAGGACATCATCGTCACCGACTTTGCTGCTAATCAAACAAGCCTCTGGAACCACCCGCTGTTCGTGGATGTTGTCAGTGCTACTGCTAATACTTGGATTTGTCTCAGCTGTCTGCGGTTCCTGAGAGATTTCCTCTTTTGATGTTGTATTGTCTTTTGTTGTTGGAGCTATTTCGGATTGGCTTAAATCATTCGCTCCACCTTCATTTTGGTCAGCGACCACAGGCATGTGTTGTAACTGTTTCACTATATCTTGATCCACCATGCATTCATCGTCGCTATAGCCCGGCATATAGCCATTGTCCTGTTCCATGTGTTCGTCATGTTGTTCATCCGTCTCATTCATTACCGTTTCGTCCGCAGATGTGTTGATTGATGCTTTGTTCATGTTCCCAGTGTCTTGTCGGTTATTTGCATTGTAATCAATGGCAGGAATTGAGCTTGCTTTGTCTTGGTGATTGTGTTCTTTGTTTTTACCAGTATCATTCATAGTGTGTATTGATGATGTGTCTTCTGTGCTGTTTACTGACTTTTCAGATTTGCCCTTAACAAGTGCATGTTCAGTTTTGTCGCTGTCCGCAGTTTGTGATTTCTGGTGTTTGAGCTGATCCACAAGAACATCGCTTTCATCTAATGGCGCCACGCTGTCAGTTCCCGGTTCTGAAGCACTCTCATCCGATGCCTCAGTAACAGGTGGTGTGCTTTCACTACTCGAACGGATATGCCTTCCTTTAGCTGTTGGAGGAACAAATGTCACGTTGCTCCAATCCATTGCCCATTCATCCTTGTGTTTCTCCTTGAGCATGTCCTTGTAAGTCTTTGGTTTTGCGAGTGTATCGCCATGTAAAGACCTCTTTGGCTTTCCAATACTGACGGCAGGCATAATGCTCTTCTGGAAATGTGAATCGTTTCCTCCCCATAATTCTGATAAAATGACTCTGTCGTGTTGTGATGGAGCTCGTTCTAGCAAAAGATGGTCAATGACACGTTGAGAGGACGGCACAACAAAGTCTGCATCCAATATGGCTCGTCGTGGTAGTTTTCTGCTACGTTTCTGCTTTGGCTTTGGTGGTGTAGTGGTATCAAGTGTCATAATTTTATGTTGCAAGCAGAGGAAAAAAGGTCTTGTCTTTTCATTTTACGCCGAGATTCCTTGTTGTTTGGGTCTCTTACAAGTCACCCAATGATGGTTTAGCATTGCATAAATCCTCAATCAAGCTCTCCTTTGATGGGCTGTATAGTAACACAACCAAAACCACCATGCTGCAAAGTCCATTTTCTGCTTTCAAACTCTACATGGCTGTGTAGAGTCTGCTGATTTAGATCATCGACTGGATAAGCAACATCTCAAGCGCTCTGAATGAAGTGCTGTATATCACTGACGTACCATGTTTTGCATCTTGACGAGTCGATACCATGAGCAGCATACCTATGATATTCGATCAGATGTCAAACAAAAATAAGAGCCCTGGGTTATATTGTATCGCTGGCTTCGACACAGAAACAGCCTCTGCCTCGGTTTCTTGTATGGAGATGGATCAATCATACAAATGTGGCATTCCTTCGAAATAAACTGGGCTGTTCGTCCTTAAACAAACCCTTATAAGTTGGCAGTAGTTTCTGCTCTATCCCTACTTTATCTCAGGCAATTTTAAGCAGCAATACATAGAAATACACCATGGCACCTCGTCAATTACAACCAGGATCATAAAAGGCTAATTTGGTGTTAATTAGCACTGACTTTCAAAGGGTCAAAATACCCTCTTATATGGAGATTTGCTCCGCCATGGTTGACCTAGAACAAAACAGGTTGTGGTATATCTTACAGCACCTCCCTCTTTTTCTTTTTATTATCATCTAAAAAAAAAAAAAAAAAACTTGTCATTATGGGTTTGGCCTTGGAGAAATGCTGTTGCTTCATACCACTTCGTATGGGCACATTTATCATTGCACTTTGGTTTTTTGTACGTTGACATCTCAACTCATTATGGTAGAAACTGACCGGTATCATGTAGATTGCTTACTTGTTTGACGCTGTAACTGGTTTCCTTGGTATCAATTGTAGGTTTCATTCATTACAAAGCACACCCAGCTGTCGCTTATACTGATTCATCCATGTAGCCATCATTGTGTATTCAGGACAAACAGCCAAGGCATGGTACTATATCAACTTGTTGTTCACAGTGCTTGTATTTGTGGGAGGGCTGTCTGGTATCATTGGGTCAATATTTGTATGGCCACCAGCAATGGATTTATTTATAGGATTGCTATTAATGTTGCAAATTAGGCACAAAGAAAATCGGCCAGATTCTTCAGCATTGTTGTTTGGGTGTGTTGCGCATTATCCTTCATCAAATACGTTATTTCCTTGGTTTTGATGGTTGTTTACCGTCAAAACATGATCAATACATGCATCCGATCCGGTATCGTGGGATTTGGAAACTCGCAAATTGGACTTGGACCCACAACAATCTCGACCAACAGCTACTATTCACCTGTCAAATATCCAAACACCATGAACGCACATGCAACATCTGCTGAGGATTGTGAACATTCGATTAAAATGTTGATCATCTTGTGGGGCGTTCTCATCTTTATCGTGCAAATGGTTCAGGTAAAAAAAAAAAAAAAAAAGGCATGTTCTGTGAAGACCGAAGCATAGATCCTAACAGTCATTCAACTGTAGATTTATTTTGCATCTGTTGTTGGCGCTTACGCTACCAGACTTCGCAGCGGTGCTCGCCATCATCGACTTCACGACCAACAGATCAAGGACTTTGAGGAATCAAGATTCCACATGTCAACTGTCTATTAGGTCGCTCGACCATGTATCCTTTTTCTTCATCATATACTTCTGTACATTTACTTCAAGTTAGCTTTGCGCTACATCCATTATTACCATGTCTTGTAAGAGAAATGAATAAAGCATCATTAGACAGGTTTCTACTGATAGTTTATTCAACGTTAGATTTGATCTGCACTGTACACATGGATGATTTGCTTTTGCATTTGATGTTGATGAACGCTAGTGGCCTGAGCAACTATCTCAGATACTCAGGATAGGTTTATTCGACTCATGTGCTGATTGATGTCGATTTTCCTCGTGATGCTTTTCCCATTTTGCATGAGTTTTTTTGACATCCAAGCTTGAGGACATTGCAATCTACGTCACTGCTTCGTCGCTGAGCAACTGCTGAAGAAGATTTTCTGTGGTTTATTTTTTGTCTTTTCTCTCTTGTATATCAACTCACTGTTCTTCCTTTCAATCATTTATAACAATATAACGTAGAAAATGAACCCTGCTCAACAAAACAAGGTTGATGTTAGTGTAAGTATCAGAATATAACGACATGAAGATGCCTTAGTTCAGCAAATGTCGAATACGTGTTTACGCCAGCAAAAAAAAAAAAAATAATAATAATTTCTCACACGTCTACACATACACTATAGCAATTAAGTGAAGAGGAGAGAAAGTTATTCCGTATGTATGGTAAACTCCCTGATCGCAAAGATCTTTTGGGTCACAAGCTGAAGGTATTGTATTATGACATTATGAGCATCGAGCGGTATCTGATGAATCATGACGAGTAGGAGCGCAAATACTTTGATTCTGGTGATTATGCGCTCTCGAAAGCCGGAAAAGAGCCCTTGGCAATAGGATCAGAGCATCCTTCACCTGATACTATCCCTCACTCCAACCCCATCTCATTGCCTGGCTCCAGCCCAGTCAAGGAGAGTCCTTTGGTTTCAGAATCGGATAAAGACGCTGCTAAACAGCAGTAAACATGTCTTTTTGTGTCATGGCATTATGCATTGAATTTGTGATATTTGCAGAACACTCAATCACCGTTTTACTCACACGCACACACACACACACACACACGCACATACACATCGCCAACAATCGAACCGACGCAATTAAATCAATACTTTTGACTATTCCATTGTATTCCAATACGACTACTATACAAAGCCTTTCTTTTTCTCAATCATATTACGAATATCTCTTGTTGCGACAGCATCATCTTCCTTTTTCCTTTCCATTCGACCACCCCTCTCCTTATCTTTTGCGATATCTTTATTATTAAAAAAAAAAAAACACTTTAAGCAGTTCAAATGTATTGTCCTGCCCAGTTGTCGATGGGATATTTAAAGGGTTGTCTTCCGAAATTAACCTGAAGCTGCGCAGGCCCATCAGCACCTACGCTCGGGAAGTAGTGATGGCGGACTAAACCTGAGAAAGCCTGTCCAACGACAATACCATTGAGAGTATATGTAACATTGCCAGTTTCAGGAGCATACAGGCATCCAACAGTATCACCTACTGTCCAACTAGGACCAAATGGCTGACCACCAGTAGCATCATCACAAAATTTATGCCCATCATCGCTATGGTAACCAACAGAATATTTGTTCCAACCTGGCATGCGAAAGATAGGGTAAGGCCTTGTGCAAAGACCAATGGCCATTACAACATCTGGACCTGCTTGCTGTACCGTGATTTCAAAATAGTGTTGTGCCATGGTTTGATTCTCATACTGGTTTTGACCTTTATACTCGGAAATCTTTAAAAATGGGTGTGATGCTAACGCGGTCGCATCAAAATCTTCCAAAGGCCCACAATTGGGGTGAATTGCAGGCCAAAAGCGAACAGTATCTGCCTGTTCCACGACGTAAGCAAGGCTCTGTGGGTTGGATTTGATGTGCTTAAATAGCTGATTGTTCTGAACGTTGGTATCAATGTGAATCGTATTCAAAAATCCTCTCTGCCCAACTTCTTGAGCTTGCATGATGGGAAAAGCGTCTATTTGTGTCGAGAATGCTTGAATAAACATTTCACCTCGTTCAAACGAGTCGAATGAAGCATCGTGGTATTTTCCAAGACGGTACACTTCGCTATCCGGGTCCATGCTTGATTGAAATGCATGATCATAGCTTGGAGGCTCTTCTTCAAAGTTGTCGTTCTTCATTGTTATTTAGGTGGTAAAAAAAAGGTAGAGTGCGATTGCTGAGCAGTAATTGTCATGCCCTTTTGTAGTTTTTGAAATGGAAATCTTGGATTTGGCTTTTGAAAGTCATCTGGCAAACAGGCTGAGCAGGCTGTTATCCTAACGTAATAAATTTTTAGTCCATAGACACTTTTACAAACCTAATATGGAACTGAGTTGCCAGGCGTTTGCCAGGCAGGGTTCATATATGATTAGCAATTTTATATCAATCAATAATCAAGTTTCTTCTAACATTTTAGCTATTATTGATTTTGCAATGTTAGTCAAAGGCCCGCGGCAGTGCGAACCACCTGAACGTAGGTAGGTTTCCACCAAAGTGAAGCTTAGGTCAGGAAACCAACCGAAGAAGAGTCGAAATTCTTATCATAACGTAATAGATTTATGGTCCCTAGACATTTTCAAAGCCTCAAAAAGGAAAGAAGTTGATCTAACAAGTATTTTGATAGGCTGGCGTTATTAAATATAGAATGCAAGAGAGATAGCATGACTAGCAACAATGCTATATAACTTGCCACCTACTTTCCATACGCTTCAAAAGCATCTATTACTGTATTGCCTCCATGATTAAAAAGGCATTGAGTTTGCCAACCAGCCCTACCAGCCAAAATCAATTCAAGCCCAGAACATTCTCTCTGTTCAGGATTGGTCAAATTCTGTCCATTTTCGACTTGATCGAACTAGTTTATGATATTCGACTATAGAAATTGTGGTGATCAACCGATGCTTCCTAATACATTCTTGAAGTGCTTTTCAAGGCGCTTCCAATGGTACCAAGTAAGATGGGTGTTTTGAATAAACTTATTGAGTAATCTACGAAAATATTAAACGGGGTTTCTGGCCAAAAAGTCGAAATTTTACATATCAAAGTCCCACAAAGAAAATTTCAGAGGTTACGTTAGATCAATAGAAACATTTTGGTTCAATATATACCATAGTAAAAGCCTTCATTATCAAGGTGAAAAACGCGATCGTTTGATTTTTAATGAAAACCATGAGGGATACCTCATGCTTTTTGGTCGATTTTCGGCCATGTTTTTTAGGTCCCCAAAAAGTGGAGCAAAGGTGTCAGTGTTGAGTCTGTAGCGGTTGCGGACATTCAGTAACTCAGCAAGAGTCGGATCATGATTTACATTGTTTCTCACTGTCTACATTAGGACATTAGGTTCGACACAGAAGTGAATCATATAATCGATTATGATGGTCTCTGATAGTGAAGGATAATGATGGCTACAGATTGTATCATCATGGCTGATCGAACGAATCGGATCCTTCAATTGAATGATATTAGATAAACATGATACGATGTATTGACTCAGTTGAAACAACAAGATAGATTGATGATTCATCAGTAATGATCTCTTATAAATAGGATGTGTTTGAATCAGTTAATAAATCTAGAAGTTTTCGTATCTGGTTACTTTTTATAGTCTTCCTTTTTTGAAATCTATCTTAATTTGTTAATACTGTATCTTTGAATACAACATTTTTTTTAACCGTGTAATCCGGATCACTATTGATTTTATACTACAACCGTTTACTCCATTTTATCTCAAATGTCTCAAGAACATACTACTGTTGCTGTTAATCCTGCTGGCTCCTTGGAAAACGCAATTGCGGATTTGCGTGAAGAAGTTCGTGGTCTGGCTGTCGAAATTTCGAAGGCTGGCGGTCAGCCAGAAAAGGAGGTGGAACCCCTACGTCTTTTGCTGGGCAAAAGGGCTGCTGACTTGCAATCTCTGTTGGATCTGGTTGTCTTGACATCAGATGGATCTGGATTGCCTCCTGGTTTTTCTTCGTTGCGCTCTGCTGCCAAGGCTGTCAACTCTTTTGTACCTGACGGTCTTCCCTTGTTCCAATGGACCGGCCTGATTAGGGATAGTAACAGGGAAAGTTTTCCGAATGTTGAAGCATGTATTCGTCGGTTTGAGGATGTACTCATCTCTCATGAAATGAGCCTTGACACCGACTGGTCCCGCTTGTTGCCCCGTTGCTTGGGTATTGACCTGCGTAACTGGTTGAATGAATTTGTCGAAGGGCAAGGGGATGCGCAGATCCCTTGGTCCGCTGTGAAGAAGGCGATCATCTCTCGTTACGGTGTTCCTAGGGAGCAAAGTCGGTTTGCTCGGATCCATGAATTCTTGGCTTGCACGAAGCAAGACAGTGAGTCTATTGACTCCTTCCTGGAACGGTTTAAGGGTTTGAGAGCAAGATCCGAGGTGTCTGACAAGCATGTGGCTGCTCTGGTGTTCTTCGATGCGTTCCCGAATTCTGTTTCTCGCTTGCTTACTGTAGCAATGAGCCAAGCTTCCGAAACTTCGTTCTATGATATCGACTATATGTCTTCTGTGGCCCGCCGTCTGGATGCGACTATTGAGAAGAAGGTCGGTAATGGTGTTGATCGCTTGGGCTCTCGCAAGAGAGAAGCGGATGCTTCACACCTTCCAGTATCCAATGAGGCTAAGAAGTCAAGATGGTACGAGGCACCGAGTTCTTCTGGCGCTCGTGGGGCTTCTTCGCGTCGTTCTAATTCTGGTGTCAGGGATCCTTGGGTTTCGAAGTTTGGCAAGACCATGGCTCAACATCGTGCGGAGCAATCGTGCAAGGAATGCAATGGACACTACGGAAAGGGTCATTCGTGTGCCACCGGTGGTTCTTCTGGTCCTACAAAGACTGTTCGCATGATGACGAAGCGTCCAACAGTACAATCCATGGTGGACAAGGCTTTGGCGTCTGAGGCTGGTGCTGCCGTACTTCGGGAAAAGAGCAGGGAGGTCAATGCCTGTTCCGCTGCGTCTTCGGTTGCTGCTTCTGTCGTTGCTGCTTCTGTTCCCGTGCGGGATGAAGTTAGTCCTGGTTTGTCTTCTGTTCAGGAGACTGAGAACACTGAGGTTGACTCTGATGTGGAAATGTCGGAATCAGATGGTCATACTATCACCGATGCTGAGGACCTGTGTGGTCGAGCTCAGGCTTCGATTGTTGATGGTATGGACAGTGTTTCTGTGTCTGATGTTGACTTGGTGCAGAATTTGTCTGCTCAAGAATGTAAGTTTGATGCTGTATTTAGTGCACCTCCTACATTGCGTTCCAATGCCATTTGTGTTCCAATTGTGGTACAAAATGTCATTTGTTTCGGCATCGTAGACACTGGTGCGACTTTTAGTTGCATTACTGACGAGTTTTTCGATCATCTAGGAGGTCGTACTCATTCTGGTTTTGAAGCTGCTGCTGCTGACAGTATTGTACAGTTGGCACATGAAGCGACTACCGTTCCTCGTGTTGGTTCTGTGGTCTTGAATGTTACTTATAATAAAGTTGTTAGTTCACATTCATTTGAAGTTTTTACATTTTATTCGGAAGAAAATGTACATGTGTTATTGGGAATGGATGTTCTCTCTAAGATTGGTATTGGTATTAGTGGTTTAGTGAGTCAGCATGATTTTCAGACTGGGCCCAGAAAGCCAGATCCTGTTGACGACTCGATTGAACCTAATCACCATCCATTTGGTAGTGATAAGGAACGTGCTCCTTACGTTAGGCTATTGAATGAACTGTTATTGGAGAATTCGCAAATTGACATGAGAAATACTCAGTGTAATTTGCCTGATTCTGTTATCAAGCTGGATACTAAGCCTGGCTGTGTTGCCTATCGTGCTCAATATCCACTTGCGGAGGCCTATAGGGATGCTGTTAATAAACAGATCCAAGTGTGGCTTGATGAAGGCGTTATCGAACGATCGGCGAGTCATACCCGCTTCAATCATCCGTTGTTGGTGGTGAAGAAGAAAGATTCGAATGGCAATTATGACATGTCTAAGCCTCGTGTGGTGTTAGATGTCCGTAAGTTGAATTCGATTTTGGAGGTTGATGACAAACAACAGTTGCCGTTGATTTCATCTATTCATCAGAATATTGGGAATAAAACGATTCATACTTGTCTGGATATCCATGCTTGTTTTACCAGTTTTGGATTGGATCCCTCGCAAGCTCATAAGGTTTCGTTTACTTCGCCGTTTAGCAATACTCAGTACACCTTTCGGAAGGCTGCGTACGGTATTCGTCATGTTGGTTCAGTAGTTGTTCGTACATTGCAGAATCTGTTGTCAGATCTGAATACGTCCAATGCTGCTACTCCCAATTCTACCAAGGATGACCAGTCAGTGTTCTGCTACGTTGATGATATAATCTGTAGTACCTCGGGTAGCTTGGAAAATCACTTTAAACTTGTTGCTGAAGTGATTCGTCGTTTGACAAAGGCTAATCTGGTTTTGAATCCAGAGAAGGTGGTCTTTGCTCAGAGAAGCATTTACCTTTTAGGATGGAGTGTAATTGATGGCAAGTTAGTCCCTGATGGAAGAAAACTTACCAATATCATGCAGTGGCCTCCTATTAAGACTGGTAGACAGCTTGCTTCGTTTCTGGGTCTGATGTCCTATTTCCGATCTTCTATTCCGATGTATTCTCGCTTAACGGGTGATCTCGACTCGTTGAAGCAGTGTAAAGATTTGTCGAAGGTCTGGACGGCAAGACATGACAGAACTATTGCAAATTTGAAGGATGCACTTACCAATGCGTTGGTTATGTCCACCCCTGATTTCTCATGTCGATTTCATTTAGCTACTGATGCTAGTCTCACTGCAATTGGTGGTTTGTTGTACCAAGTGATTCAGAATGAAATTCGGTATATTGGTTTGGTATCGCGTAAACTCTCTCCTTCTGAACGCAATTACAGTACTACAAAACGTGAGCTTTTGGGAATTTGTTATTCATTAGAAAAGTTTCATCGGTTTCTGTATATGAGACGGTTTACCCTGCATACGGATCACAAGAGTTTGATCTATTTGAATACGCAAGAGATTCCTAATGCGTTGATGCTTGGGTGGTGGGAGAACATCTTTTCTTACACTTTTGACATTGTTCACTTACCTGGTGTTTTGAATGTCATTCCTGATGCTTTATCTCGGCTGTATGAAGATGACGATGCTTCCGCACGCCATCTTCTGGGGGGCAGGTACTATGCTGATGGAGGTGAAAGGTTGAAGCAGAAGAGAAAGATGGGTTCTAAGTTGAAATCTACCACACCAACTGTTCAAATGAAACGTATTCCTGTTCGAATTACTCGTGTTTTACGAAAGGATACTAGTATTGGTGATGATGGCCTGGTTGATGTGAAGCATTCTTCGATGAAAGCTAGCACCTCATCAGCTGCCTCGTCAAAGCAACAACAAGAGTTAATTTTACGTACTATGAAGTTTTGCGATTATGTTACCCCACCTGCTACTGAACGAGATAATATGATTATTTCTCAACATTTGGTCGGTCATTTCGGAATCAACCATGTTGAAACTGCTATTCATCATGAAGGATTCCATTGGACTAACATTCGTAAGGATATTGAACGTATCTTGGGGGATTGTATTGAATGTAACAAGTTCAACATTGCTCGAGAAGGTTATCATCCTTTCCGAAGTGCCAAAGCTGATCAACCTTTGGATCATTGGTGTATGGATCTTGGTGATATGGGTGTCACAAGTTCATTCGGTAGCAACTTCATATTCGTAATGACGGATATTTATGGTCGATTTACGGTCATTCGCTGCATTCCAGATAAGCATGCTACTACTATCGCTCGTGAATTACTTCAGGTTTTCTCTCTTTTCGGTTGGCCAAAGATCTTGACATCTGATAGAGGAAAGGAATTCATCAATGAGGTTGTAGAAGCTATGGTCGAGATCAGTGGTATTGACAGACGTCTCTCGTTAGCATGGAACCCGTTGGGTAACAGTGTTGCGGAGAGTTGGATTAAACTTGCAAAGTCGACAACAGTTAAGTTGCTTAAAGGAAAACGTGATCAGTGGGAACACTATATTCCTTGGGTTAATTATTGTCTGAATGTCAAGTATGCTAGATTGCACAAGTCTCGTCCTTATACGATTCTGTTTAATCGCCAACCTAATGGTTTGACGGATTATTCAAAGGTAGACTTGACTCGTAGTTACGATGTAGTGGATCAGAAGAAGATTGATGAGAAGTATAGCTTCGTTCAAAATGTTCTTATTCCAGCTATCTCGAAACGTATTTTAGAGACTCAGAAGAAGGATCATGCCAATTTTGCTAAGAAGCACAAGATCATCGAGAAGCCTTATCCCGTTGGGAGTAAGGTGATGGTAGTGAATGAGAATAAGAGCAACAAGTTGGATGTTCGATATGAGGGTCCCTATTTGATCAACGGAATTACTAGCAAAGGCTCGTACGTTCTGATGGATCGTACAGGTAATCTCCTGAGTTATGATGTACCTACGCATAAATTAGTGTATAATGCTGCGGCTAATGCTACGCTAACTTCTAAAGAGGACTTCATTCGCGAACATCAAGAGGTTCAAGCGGTTATCAACCATAGAGGCTCACCGGGCAAGTATAAATACTTGGTGCAGTGGAAAGGATTTGATGAACCTACTTGGGAACCTATTGAACATTTCAACTCTACTGAATGTATTGAATTATATTGGGGTAGAAGGAATGGTGCAAAGGCTGTTGGCAAGCGCAAGATTGCTCCTGCAACAGTAAATCAGAATAAGGCTGCTACTCGTCCTCAGAAGAAACGTGGTAGACCAGCTAAGAATCGGTCTTAATGGCTGAATGGTATGATGTCTGATCTAGTCTTTTTACCTTATTGTATATTTTTGTCCTTTCAGAGGTTTTTAAAGGTTTTTTAATGACGGATGCTGCCCATATCATTTTGGTTGAATATTGTATATATATTGTATTTGTATGTTATCTAATATCGTTATTTATGATGTGCTGTAATTAGAGATTATGGTATGTAACAATGGTATATCCTGATCCTGGTTGGGGGCTGTTGAGTCTGTAGCGGTTGCGGACATTCAGTAACTCAGCAAGAGTCGGATCATGATTTACATTGTTTCTCACTGTCTACATTAGGACATTAGGTTCGACACAGAAGTGAATCATATAATCGATTATGATGGTCTCTGATAGTGAAGGATAATGATGGCTACAGATTGTATCATCATGGCTGATCGAACGAATCGGATCCTTCAATTGAATGATATTAGATAAACATGATACGATGTATTGACTCAGTTGAAACAACAAGATAGATTGATGATTCATCAGTAATGATCTCTTATAAATAGGATGTGTTTGAATCAGTTAATAAATCTAGAAGTTTTCGTATCTGGTTACTTTTTATAGTCTTCCTTTTTTGAAATCTATCTTAATTTGTTAATACTGTATCTTTGAATACAACAGTCAGGAAGTAAGTGCTAGGTGAGAGCAATCGTTTGGTACTATTCTGACCACCTAAAACGGTCTTGAACGCAAGAAAACGCAGCTCAAATGCACTCAGATTTTGTTGTATCAGGGACACTAAGGGCTAAAAAAGAGGGAATACCAATATGCTGCTTGCCCGAATACAAAATAGCTACGTTTATATGGATGTAAAGCATCACACAGGAATCAGATCCACAGATAATATGAAGGGTTTTTATGTGTAAGTAGAGGGTCAAAATGAAAGTAGCAGTATTTTGATAAGATACGCAAGGGCAATCGGTAGCGCTAGCTGCCGCTGCGCAGATTGGTTCTCACCGAAGCGAATTGAAGGTAGTAAAGAGCCATCCGAAGCATAAACACTCGTATCTCATAACAAGTGGTATGCATCATACTTGGCATCATGCAACAAACAATATATAAAGTTCATTACTTGCCTGTCAAATTTCAACTTGCAAATAGACTTTTTCTCATAATTACCCTGCAACTGCGGATTTGACGCTTACGCAATGATCCACGTCTGTATCAAGTGGCATTAATTTATAAACGAGCAGACAGCAAACTTACATTGTCTGTTACTACGCCAATACATCCAAAATACAGTGTAATTTAGGTATATAGGGACCTCTATTTCTCATGCTAAGAGCCGTTTTAAACTGCTAGAATAGCACCAAACAGTTGCTCTCGATGAGCATTAGCTTATGGATACCTTTGCTCAACTTTTTTGAGATCGAAAAAAACATCGACAAAAACCTCCAAAAAGCATGAGGTACCCCCCCCTCATGGTTTTCATCAAAAATCAAACGATCGCGTTTTTCACCTTGATAATGAAGACTTCTACTATGGTACATATCAATTGAAGATGATTGTATCGATCCAACGCATCCCCTAAAATCACTTTTGTGAGAATTTCGTATGTGAAATTTCAACATTTTCTCCAAAAAGCTCATTTCATATTTTCCAAAATTTCTCGCTATGTTGAGTCAAAACATAGCTTGCAATTTGCATCATTGGATGCGCCTTGAAAAGTGCTCTAGGAAAGCTTAAGGGGGGTATAGACTAAGCATTACAGTTTATATAGTCGAATCTTGCAAAATAGATCAATCAAGTCAGTTTTTGATCAGACTTCGGCCAATCTGAAACACGTTAAAAATCGAAGTTACAATTTATTTTGCTGCTGCCATGGAAGCGGCAGGCAGAAGTGGTGCCTTTCTGATGATGACAATGAATGCTTCTATAACAAGGGGATCACGAACTGAAAAATAGTTTGACTAGCAACTTATATATGTGCTGCATGCATAAATATTTGGTGGGTCTAATTAATGCAAATTGCTCGCCCAAGTGCGGTTTTTGATGCGAAATGCCAAATTGCCATCCTACTCAATACTCTGAGTGTATCCTACCTGATGTACACTTGAATTTATTGTTTGAACCTAAATGCATTACTCTCTACTACATATGTTGCAAATAATATACTCACTAATATTTAAACCAAAGAGTACCGATAGTTTTTTATCAAGTTTAACGAGGTCAGATGGCCAGCAGCCACCGTTAAACAGCGATCGTCAGCATTCTGACAATATTGTTCAGAAATCAGCGTTTCTGCATAGTTCGAGGTTTGCAGAAAGCTAATGCATGTTTCAAATAGATAGTTCTACTGTCTGATTTGGAGACTGAGACATTATGTACCCAGATTACGATCGATTGCTAATTGTTATTTTTAGCAAATGGCGATGCATATCAAGCCTGTTGAAGGGCTTCAGAAGATACCATTCGTGATTAAGAAAGCAGTTACCACAATCTTGATATGCTTGTATAAAAATTGCATTTGATATGATTGTAGTTGTTTCATTTGAGGACAGGCTTTTAAGAGTAGTGCCAGTAACAAATCGATTCACGCCTTCCAGCGTACTGATTTATCATCGGCTTTCGCCAGGATCCTGCTAAAATACAGCGTTATGTATAAAACGAAAGGCAAATATTAGCAAAAATTTTTGTCTGCCTTGTATGAACAAAAATTTCTGTTCTACTTCGAAAATGGAAAGGAAGAGCTACGCTTGGGTTTCTGTTATCTTCGAACGCAGGTTAGGCTCTCCGAAGAAAAAAGCGAATGCTATGCTGTCTAGCAAAGTTATGAAGACATGTGACAAGAATAAGGCATGTCGCAGGAGGACATTGTTGTTGTATTATTGCAAATGTACAAATACTATATACCCTTTTCAGTTCTAGTATGTATATACGCTCAAAAGTATGGGTGCCATGTTGTACATTACAACCTCAATTTTGCTGATAAATGCTCTTTTCTTAGATACAATGAGTTATTTTTAGAAGTATAGCCATTATTATTACATTTATTATTAATGTCATTTAAACTTTGTTTTCGGCAAAAAGGCAAATTTACATAATTCAGAAACTTTCAAGATAAGCGATGAAATTGTCTGATCTGGGTGAAGTGGACATATGAACATAGTACTTTATAAAAAGACAGTAGGGAGCCATAAATATACATATAGAAACAGAAATAGATTTAACAATTGAGATGATGGTGTTGTTGCAGCTGTTGCTGTGATTCAGGGGGGGATGAGGGATTATGTGGGTGCTGATGCTGTTGACCGAGATAAACACTCCAATCATTCCAATTCAAACTAGACGGAACACTTATTGTCGTCGCCGTCGTTGATGCTACCGTTGTTGCATGGGATGAATTGGTATAATGAGGAAAATTCAAATGTTGGGGTGGTGGTGGGTGTTCAAACACGCTATTCGGGAATGGAGATGGTCCACTGGATCCATAATGCGCTGTTGCTTGTGGGGGGTAAAATGGTGTTGGTGTTAGGCCAGTTCTTGGGTGTATTTGATTCGATAAAAGGGTGGGGCCTTGATCGTGCTGCGGCTGATTTTGTTGCAACATAGGACTGTATGGGATGATTGCTGTAGGGCGATTGTACTTCATATTTTCTATATCGTAGTCTTGATGGTGGTATACTGTGTGACCTCTATTGTTTAAATCTGAAAAGGGCAAAAGTTGGTCTAATGCTGTTGTTTGTGCTCGCGATACGTTGTTGTTGTTGTTGTTGTTGTTGTGATGATGGCTGTGTTCATGTAAATCAGATGTAATGCCGCCAATAATACTTGTATTCATCATTCGTTGATACCAGGAGGATTTTGGCATTGTCGCATCGTCCTCACAGCCTCTTATGACCTCGGTCGTACTAGATATTTGCTCCACCACCGGCTGATCGTTTACGAAGCGTAATTCATTACCAACTGCAGGCTTTTTAGCCATTGTGGGACTTATTTGTTGAGATAAACCATCATCCAGGATATGTTGATCTTCGTCTTTGGATTCATTTTCTAGCAAATTGTTGATATTGATCCCATTAATTGTAACCAGCATGACCAAAATATTGTGCGCTCTCTGCGCAGATGCAAGCTGATCATGTTGCTTCAAAAGGCCGATAGATCGTTGGAGTAACCTCAGTCGACGCAATGAGTCTCGGTTCTTGATAGCAATTGCCAAATGGATCAGTGAAGACTGAAACATGGAATAAACGAAGCAGGTGGGTAAGCAAAACGGTGCGTAGGAATCAGGGTCAGACATTAAGGATTGCTTTTGTCGAATAATCACGGAAATGTTGGCGGCTGCATTTTCACAAGCTTGCCGGGAATCAGCGGCAAGCACATCCAAGTCAATAGATCCTTGTATATACGTCTTTTCTGTTGAGGAAAACTCTATGAACGGACGATGCAATAACAACATGACGGTATAATATTGTAATAATAGATTCACTGAAAGGAGTAATAAAATTCCCATTAATTTTAGCCAATGGTTGATTTTTAATCTATAAATGGACATATTTACCTTTTTGTGCTTGAGACCAATTAGGCCCCTCATCAGATGTCTCATCTAGACTTGCCTTCCAGTTTTTGAGACGGCGGTCAAAGACGGCAAGGATGGTTGGATCATCTAGGCCAGCATTTGTATTTGAATGTTTCGATTTGGGAGCGTAGAGAGCCTTTAACACTCTACCAAGGATTTCCGAGAGTTTGATAAGTTTGATGAATGAGTGATAGATTGATGGTCCTGCAGGAGTTGTATCCTTGCTGTCATCGTAAACTTCGTGAGCGACTGGTAAGTCGGTATCAAAATCACGATCTAATATTGTCAATGGTTTTCCAGCTCTTGCGCCCATGAGTCTATCCAAAACGTAACAGGCATAAAATACTCGGTGTCTAGTCTCGATTTCTGAAGGAGGTAAATCCCAATTCGAACAGGATCGATGCAAGCCAATATCTTGAGCCATTCGAATTGTCTTTCCCAAGGTATGCCATTGTACTGATTCAACGTCTGTAGTTTCATCCATATCCAGATAGAGGGTCATCAGCAAAGCAGCTTGAACATGTCGAAGACGAGCCCGATAGAAATCTTGCAATTTCTGCATCACCTTTCTAAAATAAGTATCGGCGTAAAGAGCCGCCTTCCTGCTGTTGAACAGCTTTGGGAAATGGCGTGATGCAAAGCGGAAAGCGACAGCTAGTATGGCTTGAGTCAACACGTTGTTTGAAGGGTCGAATGTAGATGGCTTTTTGACTTGTAGTGTTTCAAACCGAGTTCTATTTACTATCGGCAGAAATGTATGGATATGGCTAAAATAACTATATTTGTAATATTAATAAAATAATAAACAACGAAATAGTAATATTGCAGTACGTACAGTTGGAATGCCTTTTCAATGAGTTTTGGCGATGGCAATGAAGTATCTACTGTTGTTGTTTGCTGAGGTTGCCATATTTCTTTTTCATCAAAGATAGAACTATTTAAAGAGAAACCCACATCGAGTCTTGTGTCTTTCTTTCCCGAGGAACGGATAACAAGTAATTCATTTTGAGACATCAGGCGCAATGCAACATCTTCTCTTCCTGGCCATTGTACATAGGGCTTCGATTTGAATAGACTTTGATCTATTAATTGCAGACCAGCAGAATGCCCTGTGTATTTGATAGAATCATAATCATTGAGATTCAGATTAGCCAAGGTCTCCTCCATGCTATCATGATTTGATGATTCTATTGAATCATCCTCTGTCAAGTCTGCTTCTTCTGCATCGTCATCTTCTTGCTGTCCCTCATCTTCTTCGTCTTCTTCATCGGCATGATTGTGTTGTTGGTCATGATCTCGGTCTCTTCCATGATGCTTCAATACGTCGAATCGAAAATCATTTCTTTCAATATCTTTGATGGATGTCTTTGTCAAAGATGTTAAAAGAGACTCCATTTTTTTGCATCTAAGCTCAAGATTTTCTACATAACTAAAGTGCAAGTTTAGAGTGAGTGATTTGTATAATATATATATTCTAGGAACATAATTCTCACACACTGGGGGGGCCTCTTTTCTTCCTTACAGTTAAAAATTCGCAATTGAACCCCCACTATAAAGCAGCTAAATAGTTAAATTCTGAAAGAACAGTATCAAAATGTACATGCATTACCGCTTTGCAGTTTGAACAGGGTACAGTATGGTCTGCATCGCATCGTGCCTTTCTTTTCCTGCAGAAATCACAACTTCTTTTGGCTCGTGTTCGTTTCAATGGAATTGTGGTGTCTGTAGAGTTGTTGTGATTGTACTGGCTCATTTGAGGACAAAATGGAATCAATGGAAAAACGAAAAAGAAAAAAAAAAAAAAGTGGAGTAAGAAAGAAGAAAGTGTGTATAAAAAGAAAAATGTATTATTTTTATAGATTGTTAAATTGGCTATTTTTCATTGGGTTATATATAGTTTCGAACACGTGCGGCTTTCTTGTCCTCTTTTTTTCTGCGATAGTAAAACAATCATAAATATTCTGCTCAATGAATATGATGCATTTCTGATTGAAGTTGATGGATGAGTCTGATGTAATCAGTTCGAGATGTAGATGGTTAGTAACAAGAAAAAGCGATTCCATATCAGTGCGTAATAAATACCTCAGCATTTGAGTATTTTCTTCTTTACATTGTTGCACTTCTTGATGGAGTTGTTGGTTTTCATTTTCCAATTTCTGGAGTTTGATGCCCTGGTCCCTCAATTTAGCCTACAACACAAGATGTTGTCAGAATTTATTACTATAAACGGAAATTTATTATGTACCTCCGAAGATTCAAACTCAGCCGTGGACCAGCGAAGCTCTAACGTTTTTGAGTTCAAGTTTTCTTCCTTCTTTTGACATTCTGCATCAAGAGCTGCTAACTTTTGTTGGTAGTCATGACTCAATTTCTCCAGGTCCTTTTGCTGTGATGTTGTAACCGTCTTTAATCTGTAAGAGAACCCTTCCAGTTCCTTGTCCTTCAGATCGAGTAATTGCTGGAATTGAGTTTGAAGAACGTTGATTTCTTTCTGATGTTGGGCTACGATGGATTGAACACGGCTATCATCCGTCTTTTGGCAATGTCATATTGTGAATAAAAGTTTCAACCTCCCCCCCTTTTTCTTTTGCTTACCTTTTCTTCTGTTGCTTCCTTAATTTCTTTATCCTTGACTTCTATCATTTTCTCATAAGCCATCTTGAGTGTGCGCAATTCTTCATTACTATGATTGTATTGATTGGTCATATGATCCAGTTGGTTTTCTTTAGCTGTCAATTTGTCTGAAAGTACTTCGATTGCTTTTTGGTGGTTCTCCAATGTATTCTGCTTTTCTTGCTGCCATTTCAATTGAATTGATTCAATTTCCTGTTGCATTCTATCAGTGATATCTTCATTGTCCTTGAGATACTTTGATTCATTTTCTGATTTCAATGCCGATAATTGTTGCTGATAATCTTGCTTGTTTGCTTCGATCAGCGCTAAATTTTCCTTGATTTGAGATTCCAATTGATTTTTAATTTGGTTGTGCTCAGAAATTAATTTGTTCATTTGTGCTTCATAGTCTTCTGCAATTTCGGTCTGTTTATAAAATTAGTATGTCGTACAGCCATTTTTTTGTCCCTGATTATTTTTTACCTCGACCTTGGACTTGATGGCCTCGAGTTGCAATTCATGATCCTTTCGTAATTTCTCAATGGCCTGTTCATGCTCCAGAGTAAGGCTTCTCAGTATGTTGTCGTGGTTTTCTTGCAGCTCAGCCTATATAGTTTTCATGAGAATTTCCCGGTTACACATTTCTTTCTATAAATACACCATGTTTTTGCTTTTTACCTTTAACTTTTCAGTGTTACCGATGGTTCTGGATTCCTGGCTTTCTTCCACTTGTTTCATTGCCTCTTTGTGTGAAGCATGAATCTCCTCGACAAATGTTGAATGACTAGCAGCCAACTGATTTAGCACGCCTTGGTGCTCATCTTTCACTGCCTTGATTTCCTTGTCCATCATCTCTTTGTGAGTCTCCTTCAAATCAGCAATCTCCTTTTGCAATGCTGCAATTGCTGCTTGATGCGTTTCTTTTAAAGTTTGAATGGTTGCCAAATGGGTCTCTTTGAGCGTTTCAGTTTCAGTATCAAGATGTGATTTTAATTCATCACGTAAACTTAGTTCCTGATCCAGTGTAACCTTGTGCTCTGCTTGAACTGTTTGTACAGCCAACTGGTGTTCATTGGTGAGCTTATCAAGCGCTACAACGTGTAATGCTTGTACCTCCTCCATTTCTTGCTTGTGTTCATTTTCGAGTTGTTGGGTTTGTTCTCTCAGTTGATTCAGTTCTTGATTGTGCTTTTCGATTATTTGTGTCAACTCGCCGGAACCAGTCTCTTTGAGCACTTCTAGTTGTTTCAACACATCTTGATGCTTGATTTCCAATGCCTCTAATGCTTGACGTTGTGTTTCAATCTGCTCGCTGGATACCTTTTCAGCTTGCACTAACGCGTCGGTTTTGGAGCACAATTCAGCTTGAATTACTTCCAGTTCCTTGTTATACTTGACTTCGAGTGCTTGAATATCGGCCTCATGGCGGCTTTCGAGAGCAATCTTCTCAGATTCGTAATCGGCCTTCGATTCAGCAATAGCAGCTTTCAAACGCGTCTCCAATTCGTCCTCGAGATTCTTCATCAAAATGCCATGTTCTTGCTTGAGTTCCTCGATGGCAACAGCATGTGATTTATTCAAATCTTCTGCATGAACCTCTCTTTGGCTAGCGTACTCCTTGGTTACATTTTCTACATGTTCAGAATGCTGTACCTTTAAATCAGAAATTTCCTTTTCAAATTTAGCAGTAAGCTCGTTCATTTGGTTATCATTTGCTGATGCAGCGCTCAACTTGGCACCTAGGTCATTCAACTCTTGACTATGAGCCTCCTTTAGCTCATTGATGGTAGTTTCAAAGTCTTGCTTGGCCTTAGATTCCGACTCGCGCAATTCTTGTTCGTGTTGCTTGGCCAATTCTCTTAGTGCTGCCTCATGCTTCTCATTTACATCTTCCATTTGTTTAGATAAGTCATGAGATGCTCCGTCATTTCTAGCAGCAAGAGCCTCCTGCAATTGAACACTATGCTTCTCTGATAATTGTGCGAGCGCTTCTTGATGAACGGATTTCAGCTCGGATAATGCTTGCTGGTGCTTGGCTTCGACAGATTCACGCTCACGATCTCTTTGTAAAATGTTGTCTCGTTTCATCTCGTTGATTTTGGATTCATGTTCTGCCAAAAGACGAGTAATTTCAGCTTGATGAACCTCCTTCAAGGCATCCTCCACATCTTTGCGAATAGTTTCCAGATGGCCATCTCTCTCGGAAACCAGTTGATCCACCTTCTTCTGATGCTCTTGAGCAATAGCAGCTTGCTTTTCAATTTCAGCCTTCATTTCCGATTCCAGCTGCTCCATACGACTGGAATGATGGCTTTGGAGTTGCTCGATGGCTTGGTTATGACTAGTAGTTAGTTGCTCGATCTTGGCTTCAAATTCTTCTCGTACTTGACGTTCAGTCTCAGAGCGAGCATTAGCAACAGTAGTATTCTTCACTTCTTTAATCGCGTTGGCATGACTCTCAGCAAGGTCTTGCAATTCTTGAGCATGTGCGGTCTTCAGATTCTCGATATCCAACTTGAGTTCATCTTGGCTTTGAGAATTTTGTTGTTGCAAAGCCTCAGCGTGTGCAGATCTGAGCTCGTTCAATTTGATTTCATACTCTGCCTCGACACGGATCTGATAAACAATACTCCAGATTAGCTGCATGAAACGCTTTCAAGCACATACTGAACACTTACCTTTTCATTTTCCTTGGCTTCTTGTACAAGCTGCTCATATTGAATTTTCAGTGCAGTACACTCTTCCTCTCTAGTCAATTTTAGTAGCTCAATCTCTTTTTGAATACGAGTTTGTTCTTCCTTTGCAGCATTCAAAACTGACTCGTGCTCGGATCTTGCATTAGCTAATTCCTTTTCGAATTCTTCACGGCATAGTTTCTGTTATTTCTATCAGTACCCCAAGCTCAAATATCATGCTCAGCTGTATCCTACCTCTGCTTCTGACTGAACTTTCTTGATTTCAGCTTCGTCAATCGCTGCTTGCACTTGCTCAATCTCAGCTTTGTGAAGTAATTTAGCATTCTCGAGCTCTTTTTCATGGCTTGTCTTCAATAAAGCGATCTCTTTCTATTTCGCCGTCTTACTAAACTGTTACTAGTATAAGGTTGCTTGTTAACCGTACCTTCAATGCAGCGGAAATTTCATCTTTTTGTGTTTGATGAGCTGATGCGAGTTCCTCGAGTTGACGAGCTGATTCCTCCTTCAACTTGGCTAATTCAGCTTGGAATTCTGTTTTGGAGTCGGCAGAAGCAGATTCCAGATGCTCAATTTTAGCCAACAATTCAGCCTTTTGATCTTCCAGTAACTTCTCTGCGTCCAAATCAGGTTCTTGCAATTGCTTTAGTGTTTCCTGCAATTTGCTCAACTGTTCCTCGTAATCTTCTTTCATCGCTGCAATTTGATTCGCATGCTGCTCGTTCAACTGATTGCTGAATCCAGTCATTCGCGTTTGGTGAGACTTGTGCATGTCCTACGATTCAGAGCAATTTTGAGCCATCCATACGTGGACATAATCAAGCGCCATGATCTCGCTTTATTACCTGAATACTATCACGAAGTTCATCCATATCCTTTCTGAGACGAGCCATTTCCGACTCTTTTTCAGCGATACGGTCAGCCAATTCTCTCTTTTCAGATTCCAATTTCTCGCGCAATGTTTCCATTTGATCTCTCAACAATTCTTCGGCCTCCTCTTGTTGTCTAATTAATGCAGCCTTTTCTTCTTCCAGCTGAACAGTTGCTTCCTTTTGTTTCTCTAGGGCTTCATCACGAGCTTTCTCAACTTGCTGCAACTGCTCTTTCAATTCCACGATTGCTTCTTCGGCTTCAGCGATAGCTGTGCTATTGTTATCGCTGCTTCCACCGGCGTAGTCTGAATTGCCATTATTATTAGTAGCACTACTACTATTATTGCTCTCATTTTCCAAATCCTCAGGGGTCGCTAATCCGGTTTCGATCTTCTCCAGTCTTTCTTTGAGAGAGTTCAAATCAGCATCCTTACTATCAAGCAAAGCTTGCTTTTCAGCTACTAAAGCCTCCAATTCTTCTTGCTAATTAACTATTAGATCAACCAATTTCCTTCCCTTGTCATATTTGTATATCTAATTAATTTACCTTGATCTTATAAGCCTTCAACTCCGCAATCATCTCGGCAGATTTGGCAGCATTGGCAGTTGCTGTTGTAGAGGATGGAGAAGCGGATGATCTACCAGTTGTACCAGATGAAGCAACCGAAGGTGTGCGACGAACGGGAGTAGCAGGTGTACCTGAAGTTGCGGTGCGAACGGAACGAGCGGTTGACGCGGTGGGAGAGGTTACTTTAGCTCTACCATTTGCCATTGAACTAGTTGTTGATCGTACTGAGGGAACAGTGGTCTTTCGCGTAAGTGAGGGGCTTACTGTGGCAGTAGCTGTAGTGGATATGCTTGATGCTACTGAAGTTCTTCTAGTCACTCCTGGAGTAGCAGTGGCTCTAGAAGTAGAAGCAGCTCTAGTGGCCGTGCTACCAGCTACAGGCGTCTTTGATGCTCGAACTGAGCTTGCAGTTGGTTTGGCAGCAGTTGAGCGAACAGGCGAAGCCGTTGCTGATTTAGCTGTAGCGGTCTTGGAGGCTGTAACAGGAGTTTTGGAAGCTCTCACGGAGCTGGTAGATGAAGGCGTAGTTGAGGTAGCAGGTCTCTTGCTAGTGCCTGCCAGACCAGCAGCTGCTAGTGAGGACATTCTGCTTTTTACACTGGGAGGGGACGATTCCGTCATGGTGGATATGTAAAGAAAAAAGAAGGAGCAAAGAGTAAAATTAAATGGGGTAGCCTTTATAAACTCATTGAACACGATGTAGGACACTAAATAATTTATATTGCCTTTCCTTGGAGTACAAAATTAAAGTTGTAAGGGTGCGTCGGATGATGCACCAAAAGGTTAAAAGATGGCCAATGACACCAATACGTTGCTCTGTGTAATGGATGATAGTTGCTGTACTCTGACGCTGCAAAAGGTCATCTGAAATCTATTGTTCTTTCAAACCAAAAGCTGCTGATACCAGATGTTTGTTATGCTCCCAATGTACTATGATTTTTACTGTCATCGCGGAATCTACGTAACACAATGGGTACATCCTTCTTGTTTAACGTTTATGGTGTAGGGTACTGAGGAGCCACCTACAGTTTGTAGTCGCTTAACTTGTGATGTCTACATCAGGCACGATTTATTAGAACTGTATTAAACTAGTATTTGTAGAGTGTAAACGTACAGCATTCTTGTATTAAAAATGATGCCGGCATAGACTGCACGCTACATGTTGGTGTCACTCCACTTTAGCCCGCCTACATGATCAGTTTTGTATATCTGCGGTGACATTGTTTTGACCCTAGTAGTAGGGACCATGCTTTTAGCTGATAACAACATACTAATTCGGACTACTGCAAAGAGTTTCGATAGGGACGCCATATACGTAAATCCTCTTGATGGACACTGGAATTCCATATTTAGTATCTTTATAATCACTTGCGACCCTTCACAAACGCCCTACTACTTTGCATCTGACTCTTCTGCGATGCTCCACTTCCGTGTTAATGGAAACAATTCATATACAGGTAGACAACATTACTGCATTACCTCTTACTACTCAAAGCATGCGAATTGCCACATAATCTGGATACATTTGGGCTGTGATTTCTAGTGTTACAGGCTATTTTGAGCTACCAGATTAGCACCAAACAGTTGCTTTCACCTAGCATTTACTAACTGACACCTTTGCTCCACTTTTTGAGGACCTAAAAAACATGATGAAAAATCAACCAAAAAGCATGAGGTACCCCTCATGGTTTTCATCGAAAATCAAACGATCGCATTTTTGACCTTGATAATGAAGACTTTTACTATGGTATATCTTGAATCAAAATGTTTCTATTGATCTAACGTAACCTCTGAAATCATCTTTGTGGGACTTTGATATGTAAAATTTCGGCATTTTGCCAGAAACCTCTTTTCATATTTTCGTAGATTACTCAATAAGTTTATTCAAAACACCCATCTTACTTGGTACCATTGAAAGCGCCTTGAAAAGCACTCCAGGAAAGCTTAAAGGATGATAGGATGGGCATCACAACTCACATAGTCGAATCTTGCAAAATAGTTTAACCAAGTCGAAATTGATGAAAATATTTTTTTAAGGGCAAATAAATGCTTTATTTAAAGTCCTTTAGATGAAAATATTTCTATTTCAAGAGAAAAATAAATGGAGTCGGAGTCTGGTTTGGTGGCGGCTGACAAATTGAATGCTATGCTTATCCTTAACGTAGTTTATGCTTTTGAAAGCACTTACGAGTGAGATTACAAGTTGAACAGTACCACAGCTTAGCCTCATTACTTCTTTGCACCTTATCTGACGCTTTTATATGTCTGAAATGTTAATTAATCCAATTTCAGATACAAATGTGAAGACAATTACGAGATGCAAAACTTCTACCTTACTCAAAAAATGACATTTATTAGACATCCTTTCGAAATTTCAAAAGCTTTCTCAACATCTTTTTTTTTTTTACAATGAATATACTCCTTTCAAATTCAAACCAGGTTGGATGAGACCATCCATGTACGAACAATTCAATCTAGCAAATAGCAATGTCAAAACGGCGATCCAAATCAATTCAGGGGTACACTTTTTGACACAACGATGACAAGCAAACCAGTGAATCAAAGACGCTAATTATTCGCAACAAAAGTATAACCGTAATTTTACAGATATGCACAAAAGATAGTTTATTTAAAATTAACTTTTATATATTAAGATGAAGCTGGTGTTATGGAATTTAATCGAAGAGACCGAAACCCATATCATCATCCTCCTCCTCAGATTCCTCAGCAGCGGCCTCAGCAGCGGGAGCAGAAGAGGTCTCAGCAGCAACGGGGGCAGCAACAGCGAAAGCTTCGGGGTTAGCGATGAATTCCTTGATTTGCTCAGAACCGGGGAAGGTGTAGTCGGAAGCGACAGAGACAGCCAACAAGTTCTTGTAACCGTTGATAACGGAGTGAGGAACGGAAGCCAAAGTAGGATAACCAACAGCAAGAGAGATAGAGGCAATCTCACGGATAGCAGCCAACAAGTTGGCAACCAATTGAGACTCTTCGACATCAAGGACATCAGCAGAGAAGAGAGATCCAGCATCGTAAACTTGGACAACACCCATACCGTAGGTGAAGGGAGAGATGTTCAACATGTTCAAGAGAACAGCCTCGGAAGGACCAACCTTGGAACCAGATTGGACGAGCTTGACATCAGAAACAATTTCAATGGTACCACGAGCAATCTTGGTGGGGATACCGAGAGCTTGGAAGAAAGAGGTCTTTCCTGGTTCCATACCAGTGTTACCACCGGGAACGATAACATCAGCGGGAGCAACGGCACCAGCACGAGCAGGAGCAGCAACACGGTTGGAGACAATCTTTTCACGGATATCCTTGAGGTCACCGTTGGTGAAAACGAAACCAATGTTACCCTTAACAAAGTTAAGAAGCTTCTCGAGTTCGGGACGCTCGTTGATCATACCCTTCAAGGCACGACGGACCATGGTGTTCTTACCCATAAGAACAACAGCTTCACCACGGAGGGAGAAACGGATTTGATGCATTTGGTTAGAACTGACATTGTCAACGTTGACAATGAAGATGGATTGGTAGGTATCCAAATAGTTGGTAAGCTTTTGGAAGTAAAGGGCCTTGTTTTCTCTCTTCGACATGTTGATGGTTACTGTTCGAGGACTTTTTTAAAGAACTATTCATAACAGATATTGATTAGCATGCTTGATGGATGGATGGATATGTGTCATTAGTTTACCTGGCAGGTAGAGGAGGAATCAATCTTTTGCAAATGCAGTTGCGTCTTATAACATCCTTGATTCCAAGCGTGACTCTGGCTAAAAAGCAGGTGCGGGCAATGCTCGGTGGGTTTGAGACGAATGTCAAAATGCATTGTAGTCCCGGCTGTACCCCAGCAAGCAAATTTGTCCTCTCTTTGATACATACACATATTACTCCATACTAGAAGATGCAGTTCTTGACAAGATCTAGTGTGAGAAACAACCACCTAGTCTCAAATGTATTGTTTAATGCTTGTAGATTGAGATATAACTATCCAATTATCTCACAATTTCATACTGCCATACCATGCTACGCAGAGGAAGATTATGCTAGAAAAGGATCCGTACAATACAAGCTGCGAGGAAAAGTAAGACAACAATTGATTTATCATTATGATATGGATACTCAACGTCTCTATACGATGGATTAGGGAAGGCAATTCGTTGATTTTATTCGAGTAAAAGCAAGAGGAGGTGATGGCGGTGATGGTTGTGTGTCATTTCAGCGAGAGAAATACCTCGCCAAAGGCCCACCTAACGGTGGAAATGGTGGTCGAGGTGGCAATGTTATTATTCGAGCAACATCAGATGAAAGCACACTCAAGAGAATGGGCCGCATGTGCACTGCAAAGCGAGGACAAAACGGCCTTGGCGCTGGAAGACACGGCACGATGGGCGAGCATTTGGTGATTGAAGTGCCAGTGGGAACTGTAGTCAGAGAGGTCACTCTAGATGCTGAGGAGGAGGCAGTGGAAGCAGAGCTGACAGCAGAGGAAGAACAAGAACAGCGTGAGGCTCGTTGGGTTCTCTATCCTAGAGCAGAGCAAGACAATGCTCCCGAAGGTCGAGTGAATTTTTTCAAGCAAGCTGAAAGATTGATGGATGAAGAGGATCGTTACTACCGCTGGCGTCTCCGTACAGAAAAGAGGGACAATATCTATGTAGATTTGACAGAGCATAATCAAGAGTTTGTCTTGTGTCGTGGCGGTGCTGGCGGTTATGGCAATCCTCACTTCCTGACAACAGAGAACCGATCACCCAAGTGGGCAACTCGTGGACGTAAAGGAGAGGTGCGAGAAGTGGAATTAGAGCTCAAGACAATAGCAGACATAGGCTTGGTAGGTCTTCCGAACGCTGGTAAATCAACATTGTTGAGTTCTATATCCAATGCACATCCCAAACAAGCAGACTACGCTTTCACTACATTACATCCGTTTGTGGGCACGGTTGACTATGCGGATCAATATCAACTGACAGTTGCTGACATTCCAGGATTGATCCAAGGAGCTCATCGTAACGTTGGTTTGGGGCATGCTTTCCTCAGACATGTGGAGCGTGCAAAGATTTTGGTGTATGTCATTGATGTGAGCGGCCCTTCGCCGTTTGATGATCTGAAAACATTACAATACGAATTGGAGGCTTATAGACCTGGTCTCACAAAACGTCAATCTCTGATCGTTGCCAACAAGGCGGATAAGGTCGGCACAGCCAAAGAAAATCTCGCCAAACTTCAGGAGCAAGTAGGCTCGTCTATCCCAATTGTTCCTGTTTCTGCAAAATACGAGAAGAATGTGCTCAAATTGACATCTGTTCTACGAAAAGAAGTAGAGCGCATCCGTATCGAAGAAGAAAAGGTCAAACAAGCGAAATTGAAGGAACTGGATGATGAATTCGACGATGGAGAGGATATCTAAAAGCATGTACATATACAATGAATAAAATTTCCATACGTTCAATTAGGCTGTCATCCACATGTATTCGTCCCTTCTTTACTGATTCAATTCTATGCCTCCATTAATCGATTTCAAATCAAATGATTGCTGATTTTTTATTACATTGGTAGATATAATCTGTTTTATACAGTATAGGTAATTTATTGTGTTGCTGCAAATTCTTCTGCGCGTGCTCTGTTCTTGACCATAGCCTCCTTCTTGGAAGCAATAAGAGCTGTTTGTCTTTCTTGTAAGTTATAAAGGAAGTATCCAGCTGAACCGAAAACAGCAGCAGCTAAAGCATGGCTGCTAGGGTCTATTCATGAAGAATGGTTAATGACTTGTAAATGATTGCGCACAAATTTTGGCTTACTAGAAAAGACAGGACGCTTTTGGAGGCCAAGAGCATATGAACGGACAAGAACACCAAAGGCAGCAAAGCCAGAAACACTACCGAGCAAACTCATGATGGTTATTGGATTTTATAAAGAGTGGGGAGAGTAAGAGAGAGATGTTTGAACAACATAACCTTTGTTCGGCTCTTCTGGCTTACCCCACCACCCACCCCGAATTCCCCTAGTCCTCAGCATCCAGTTTTTAATATGTCATCACTCGGAATCTCAAGAACTTGCCAAATCAAGAAGAAATGGGATTCAAATGGCTTGTATGAAATCTTTGATGTAACATTTTTATATATTGAATGGATACAGGTCCACTTTAATTTTGTAGCAATTAATAATAACATAAATAAAAGAAAGCTTAGAATAGAGAATATAGCATTCTTCAGATGTGATGAGATGAACGTACTATTACGAATAAAAACTCAACATCACATCTATCGGGGATGATGGATGACCGAGTACTTTTCTATTTCTCTAGCGATTTCGCCGTGAAGTGATTTAAAAAATTTTTCTAATACATCTAGGAACCTATTATGTTGCAATTAGACGCTAGGCAAACGATAGCTGCTCGACTATCATGCTGTCAAAGCTTTACATGTTAGCAGTACACTCAACATGTCTGATATATTTATACTCCGACGTAATTTCCTTTTTTGGTAGTTAGATCAAATAATTAGATGTTCACAAGGTTGAAGGCAATCCAGCTACGTTTCTAGCTTTAGACCATATCTTTTGTTAAATATATGAAAAAAAATTGTAATAAGCAATGCAATGATTCTATTCTATAATGCGATTTTACCATATTTTTCCAGATGGCTCGTACATTGTGCGACATGACAAATCGCTTAATAGCTAACTTCTTCATTTTATGAATTGTGCTCGTGCCCAATGTCTGCTGCTCACTGCTCGCATCGATAGGCCTATATATGTAACTATTTTTTTTTGGTAATTGTGTGTGTAATTATTCAAGCCAAATCACTTTATCTGCCTCAGCAATGTAAGAAGATCATGTAAGGCGGTAGAAAGGAAGATTCCGAGAAATGAAAATCCGAGTCGAACCTATGGGCATGGCCTGATTGATGCTTATATCCTAATGGGTAAATGAACGCAAATGGTATAGAAGCTTTCCTTTCATTTTGCTTCAGAGTATGAACTGAATTGAACTTTACTAGATTCATAATAAGCTATCTCTCTAGAAGAATGTTGACAATAAAAGGGACTCTCAGGACTTGAAAATCCCTTCTTTTTCCTTGAGCAAAAATAATTGCATCTCCTATCTTATATCACATACAAACAGACTTTGATCGAGACCACCGTTTTACTTCTACATTCGAGTACACTGATCCCCAGGCCATTTTTCTTTTTTTATCCCATATACATTATTTTTCGCGGGGAACTAATAGCACAAACTTTACTCCCCTTTTTTCCTTGCTCTTCCACATTTCTTTTTTTCTTTTTCGATATTCCAAATCTTCCCCTTTCTTCCACTTTCTCTCATTTGTACTTGAAATAGTACAGCGTCTTACCTTTCCCTTTGAATAATGAGTCTATCAAAGCAACTTTTGATACTATTCCTAGCATGCCTAATTACTATTGTACTAGCACAGACCACCATTAATGCTACCGAAATCAACAGTGCTACTGCCACATCCACTACAACTTTAATTAGCAGTAGCATCTCATCAACATTGCTTCCTTCCTCATCACTGTCATCCACTCTTTTACCTTCTGCCTCGTCAACCTTCTCAAATGTCGTGCCTACCTCTCTTTCATCATCTACTACCTCTAATCCCCCTTCATCATCCACAATTACTAATGCAAATGCAGTACCTACTGTGCAGAGCACAGGCTGGAACTCAAATGAAAACGAACAAGCCAAAGACCAGCAGAGCTGGCTCAGACAAAACAATAGATTTGTGTTTGTGATCTTTGTTGGCCTTGTCGTACTTGCTATATTGATCTGGTATATAGTCAGGAGCATTAAAGGAATGCGTAAAAGACTCGAGCAAGAGAATGAAGCCCAGTTATATATGATGCAGCAAGCCTCTGCTCCTCATCAACAGCAACCACCACCTCGTAATGACCGTGCCATTTCTGAATTAACACAAACTCCACCTCCAGCTTACAAGACAGAGGAAAACACGCCTGTGCATCAAGCAACAGAACATCGTTCATAAATAGTAACATAATCTCTTAGGAATCTCCTTATATCATCTCTTCACTCATCCTTACTTTTATTTTTTTACTCCCATTTCGAATAGATGGAACAAATGTATTATATATATATAAACTTTTCATTCTTTCAAAAGTGACAATAGCTCAATAAGTGTGTTTATTGTGTAATGAGTTTATTTTGTGATCACCAAGACGATATATTGTGAAACCAACGGACCGATGAACCTGTAAAGTAATTTACTCAAATGCTCCCCGGTCAAAATGTACAATTTAAGCATAATAATCAGAGTGTGCTCCCATCAAAATGGTCTATCTAGAGTTATTACGCATCTAGTTCTGGGAATTGGTATGCCTTACGGCTGCTTGCTTGATTTGCCATACTGCATTGATAATCAAACGAAAAATACAACAAAAAGGCAACGCTGCTTTAGAAAGCACTAAACCAGAACAACAGCGATTATAAATTGCGCTATTTATAGGTGATAGCATAGCCAATATACTCTAACGAGTACCGGTATCTGTTAAATGGAAAAATCTTGATTGGATTCTGCTTTTTGTTGTGATATAGCACTAGTTGCTCAAATGATCGGCATCAATAATGATGCGCATGAGTGGAAGTAGGCGGATATTGTGCATTCAGCATGTCATTTGAGAAATACCGCCTTAGAGTTATCCTTGAAAACAGCAAACGTAAGCCATACTTGTCGTGGACACTGTTAATTCAAACAATAATCAGTTTCAGTGATACATAGTATTCTTCCTGTAGGGAAACAGCTGATTCTCGCCAAGTTAGTCATAGTTTTAAGGTCCCTGATTGTCACCAAGGCACATGAATTCATTTACCGCAATGTGTTTTGGCATTGGCATCAAAAGTAAGGGTCTAATTAACCTTGTCAATACACAATTGATAGATGCTATGACAGCAATGAAGATCACTTGCTTGAGCTGGAGGCATTTCTTGATTTGTTTTCAGCCCCAATTCGTCGGCAATTTGCAACCTTACACTTCTGTATGCTCTGCCACAGACAACACAACATCTACGGGCCGATCGTCCGGGTTATCCTTCAAGGATCAATGATTTTCTCCATGAATTTCATCGCAATGATGGTATAAAATCAAACAAGAATACACAAATTCATCTCCTTTACGCCTATACAACCAAATTTACAAGAGTGCTATGGATTGTTTCCAATGTTGTGGTCAATGTCTAGCAAAGAAGCACATCCCTCTTTCCCGGGCTTTTAATGAATGTGACTCTTTTGCTTCTTGAACAGATCCGTCAAATACAATAATCGCTTTCGTGCCTCCATTGATCCCTCCTCTTACCACATACATATTTTGCACGTATGTAGAAGCATCCATCCATCATCCATCCAACAACAATCAATGTAATCTAACATGTAATCTGAATAGTATGTCTGCCGAACTTGCTGTCGTCTACGCTGCTCTCATCCTTGAGGATGACAATGTCGAAATCACCGTAAGTCATCTACAGATGTTGTCCGATTTCTAAGATCATTCGTGATTAATGTGATTGGAATTTAGGCTGATAAGCTCCAAACCCTCGTTGCTGCTGCTGGTGTTGAGGTTGAGCCTATCTGGTTCTCCCTCTATGCTAAGGCCCTCGCTGGTCAAGACCTCAAGGCCCTTCTCTTGAACGTTGGTGCTCCTGGTTCCGGTCCCGCTGTCTCTGCTGGTGCCGCTGCTGGTGCTGCTACTGATGCTCCCGCTGAGGAGGCCAAGGAAGAGGAGAAGGAAGAGTCTGATGACGATATGGGTTTCGGTAAGTTAATGTTGGTTGGGATGGTTCTGGCATTGTCCTAATGTTTCTGTTTTTCAATATAGGTCTCTTTGATTAAATTGTTTAATCATCTTATTTCTTCAATAAAATCCTTTACAATTCGCACGGATAATTCGTTGCGCAATCAAAGAAAATTTAGCATGTTGTCATAGTGTAGATTGCTGCAATTGTGTTTATTTAATTCAAAAGAGCTGGCGTATGAATGGATACGTTTAAAGCTGACCTGCTCTTCGAAGTGTACGTCTGTTCTCCATCTATGATATAGCATTGGATTGAGCATTTGCATGATCAAATAACTTTTAAAGATGCCCTACCCATTTCTTTTTGCATTCCTTGTATTGCATGAAATAATAATCGCACTGTCTTTTGTCGTAGTTGTTTTCATCCAAGCATTTCATACTGGCTTTTTCCTCTAAAGCGCAAGGGTTCATGTATTTGGTGGTTTCCTTAGCCTTGAATTTGTCATTAAAGTCCTTGGGTGTTGAAGGCTCTTCAAATTCAGGCTTTGGTGGTGGTGGTGGAGGTTTTGTGAGAGGCATGTTACAAGTTTGCTACTTTTGTGGGTATTTACAAAAAAGAGAAACAGAGAATAGAAACTAACCAATGTGTGGGATGATATAGCCCTGCCTTGAGAACATCTGACGGAGTTTGCAGTGAACGGCACCACCAGCGTCTGATGTATGCTGAACAACAGATCCAATGTGGTTGTGGTAATTCAGTTTATGGAAAATTAAGCATACCTTGTTTTCGGTGTATCGTCAAGACATACAATAGCTAGTTCCAATGGAGAATGGTCTTTTCACATAGATAATGTAATGTTCAATGCCCTGACATTTACGAGTAATCATGTCAAGTTTGGATCGCATTGCACTTGAATCTACTGTATAGCAGAGCTGGAATATAACTCTTAATGTAATCCTAGCTCTCTCGAATGCCATCAATGCCTCATTTTGACACTACATGCCTTTCTTCGTGACCTTTTTCAATAAGGGGATCATCTTGTCATTTTGTGAAGGAAGCCACTAGTTGAAATGAAGAGGATTGAAGGTCACGATGTTAATTACCAGAACCATAAAAAAAGTTTCAATTCCATACTCTTTTGACAGTTACAATAACACACAATGGTGAAAGCATATCTTCGCTATGAAGCATTAGCATCATTTGGTGTTATTGCTTCTACACTCGCCAACATTATCTATGATCACACCGGAAAAATCGCAATTGCTCCTGCCCTTGAAGAAGTCATATTGTGGGATCTCAAAAAGGGTATCGAGGTAAGCTTTCTGTTTGCCATGTTAAGAGTGTGTTTTACTCAATGTGCACTTCCAGGTCGGCAAATGGAGAGAATTTGGAAACAAATCAGAAGTTACATGTATTGCCAAGAGCCCAAACAACAAAGATTTCGCAGTTGGGTAATGCAGAACAATCTCAAATCCATCAAGTGACATGTATTAATCTCTTTGCTTTGGATAGTTATGGCGACGGTACAATTCGTATCTGGAATATTCAATCCAACACATCTACAGTGACATTGAGTGGCCATCGTGCTGCTGTCACTGCTTTAGCTTTCGATAACGATGGAACTCGTCTTGCATCTGGATCAAGAGATACAGATCTCATCATTTGGGACATCATTTCAGAGTCTGGTTTATATCGTCTCAAGGGCCATAAGGATCAAATTACTTGTTTGGCTTTCCTGGACCCCAAGAAGATTGATGATGAAACGGAAGTCGGTGTCTCCAACGAAGGCTATGTACTTTCATCCTCCAAGGATACATTGATCAAATTATGGGATCTATCAGCACAATATTGTCGAGAAACACTAGTGGGTCATCGAAGTGAAGTTTGGTCATTTGCTGTGTCCAAGGATCAAAAAGTCATCATTTCTGGTGGCGCAGAAGCACAACTCAAAGCTTGGAAGATTGATTGGAAGATTTTAGGTTTATCCTTGGAGGAACTTGGGCAGGAAGACCAGATGCAAATTGATAGCGCTACACCTGCTACATTACAAAAGGCCATCAATGTGTATGGTCAGATCCCTCGTCAGTCCCGTGATCGCATTGTTACCATTCAGTTTCACCCATCTGGCAAATTTGTGGGTGTCCAAGCCAACGACAAGTCAGTAGAGGTGTACAAATTGCGCGATCATGAAAGCATCCGCAAGAAGATCCAGCGTAGAAAGAAGAGAGCAAGAGAGAAGGGAAAGGACGAGGCTGAAATCAGCAACGAAATCGAGGCCGAAGACGAATTTACATCAGAATGCTTGGTTCGCACACCTGCCAAAGTCCGTAGCTTTGATTTCGCTCCTGTTGCAGATGTCGAGAAGGCTGGCGAAATCCAAATTGTCGCTTCGCTGAGCAATAATACCATTGAGGCATACACTGTCCCTATTACACACGAAAAGAAGGAGGACGCCGAAGCATCACGTTTATATTCCATCGATGTGCCTGGCCACAGATCAGATATCCGTACATTGGCTCTCAGTAGTGATGACGAGTTATTGGCTTCAGCGTCCAGTAACCTACTCAAGGTGTGGAACATTAAGACAAGAGCCTGTATTCGATCTATCGAGTGTGGTTTTGCTCTTTGCAGTGCGTTTCTTCCTGGCAACAAACACATCATCATTGGCACCAAGACGGGTGAATTAGAACTGTACGACATTGGCTCCTCATCGCTGGTGGAATCTGTCAAAGCTCACGACGGTGCAGTTTACTCGCTTCAAGTTCGTCCTGATAAACGCGGTTTTGCTACCGGTAGTGCGGATAAAGACGTCAAATTTTGGGACTTTGACATGGTGCAAGACAAGAACAGTGCTGCCAAACGACTCACTTTTATTCACATGAGAACACTCAAGATGTCTGACGAAGTTTTGTGCGTGCGATACAGTCCTGATCAAAACCTGATGGCCGTGTCGTTGTTGGACTCCACTGTTAAGGTGTTCTACCACGACACTCTCAAGTTCTTTTTGTCGCTGTATGGTCACAAGCTGCCAGTGCTGTCCATGGACATCTCATCTGACAACATGTTGATTGCTACATGTTCGGCTGATAAGAACGTCAAGCTATGGGGTTTGGACTTTGGTGATTGTCATAAGTCGTTGTTTGCTCATCAAGAGAGCGTCATGTCTGTTCAATTTGTGTGGGGTACTCACTACTTTTTCACTGTCTCCAAGGATAAAACTGTCAAATACTGGGATGGCGACAAGTTTGAGAACATCATGAAGTTGGAAGGCCATCATGGTGAGGTGTGGGCTTTGGCTGTTTCCAAGCACGGCTCATTTGTGGTGACAGGCTCTCACGATAGGTCCATGCGTATCTGGGAAAAGACAGACGAGCAGCTCTTTTTAGAGGAAGAACGTGAAAAGGAGCTGGAAGATCTCTATGAAAACACACTGGTGAGTCAACTGGAAAAGACAGATGTCAATGCAGGTGACATGGAAGTGGATTCTGCTGGCAAACAAACCATGGAGACACTGAAGGCCGGCGAAAGATTGATTGAAGCCATGGATATTGGCGATGAGGAGAAGAATGGCTGGTTAGCATATGAAAATGCCAAATCTCGTGGTTTGCCTGGTCAGCCTCCTCAACGTCATGCTATTTTAATGGCAATGGGCGACATTGAACCTGACAGATACGTGCTGGATGTGCTCAAGAAGATCAAAGCAAATGACATTGAAGAAGCACTCATGATCTTGCCTTTCTCCAAGGTCATGTCACTCTTTTCCTATATTGAAAGTTGGGCCAAAAAGGTAAGATTGTCAAAAATATAGGAGGTTAATTAAAAAGAGGGGTTTACTTATATGCAGTTTTTGTTTGTTAGAACTGGAGCATTGTGCTGGTGTCCCGTGTGCTCTTCTCTGTCGTGAAAACACATCACAATCAAATTGTTGCTAATAGAATGATGCGCCCTATGCTCGATTCCATTCGTTTCCACCTTCGTGCGCAATTACAGCGTCAAAAGGATGTCATGGGTTACAACAGAGCTGCATTGACATACCTCCAACGTGATTACAAATCAAGGAATACTTCTGATTTCCTTGATGAAAATGCAGATAAGCCTGCTGACGACGAGAAGAAACGTAAATTTATTCAATTAGCCTCTTAGATAATTAAACACATCTCACTCCCCTCCCTTTTGTATACACGCTTCACCCTTTTTTTTTACATAATAAAATGCATCCTCCTTTTTATTTCCTCTGAAAATGCAGCGTAGATACTGGGAAATGGCTGTGCGGACCAACAGGGTAGCACACGCCCTTTCCCCCCTTGAAATAATGATATGTAGTCCTGATTTAAATTGGTACAATTAAAGTCTGATTCAATATATGCAACGTACAACATTGGCAAGATATGAAAATTTCGTATAATGTTTTTTTTTGGGGGGGGGGAAGTGTTCAGCTGATACATTCGTCGAGATGCTCAAAGCTATCATTCATTAATACGTTAAAAGATAAATATTCAAAAAAAAAAAGTGCTAAAGGGGTAGTAAGAGTGGAAATATACAGATGGGATTAGTTGGGAGGAGAGGACAAGAGACACTACTGTAGAAATGGATGTGTCATCAATTCATTGATGCGAGGGCGCAATGATGGATTTCGATCTAGACAATGCTCCAATATTTGTCGAAGCGTCACTGGCACTTCAATGGGCCTTGATGTCTCATCTGTGGGTGCTATTGTGGCTGGAAATGCGATTTGATGATTGGGGTTAGGTATACTAGCGACTTTTTGTGCTAAAGCAAGGTGATAGAAAGGAGTCTTTCCATAGACCATTTGATATAGGATGCAGCCTAGAGACCAGACATCGCTGGGCCTACCCAGCTTCATCAGGCTCCCTGCTTCTCCTCGGCCTTCATTGATGTCAGAGAGTGCTTCCGGCGACATGTAATTGATAGTGCCCACTTGAACGCATCGTTCAATATTTGTGGTATCGTCAGACACTTTCTTTGCTATACCAAAATCGATCAATTTGAGCCATCCTTTAACAACCACAAAGTTGGCAGGTTTCAAATCAGAGTGAACAATGTTGTTTTGATGAATTGTCCACACTGCATTTAGCATCTACCAAATCTGTAAATATACCAAATTTAGAGATTAATTGCATATATTGCATACCTGACTCCAGTAATAGCGTATGAAATTAATATCCCATGCCTTCTTGGTCTGCTTTTGAATCAGCTGTGCCAGGTCGATTTCGCCAAATTCCATCACCATGTAGATGACAGACGGTGTTGCTCTATAATCCAGTAAACTCACAATGGCAGCATGATTGTTGAGTGACCTCAGCAGCTCTATTTCGTTAATGATGCTTTGCCGATCCTCCTCGTGCTTGACCTCGATCCACTTCAGTGCTAGTATCTGGCCGTAGGTGTGTCCCAGTACTTGGAACACCTTGCCCGAGCTGCCCCTACCAATTTCCTTAAGGATAGTATATTCATGGTTGTTGATCTACAAAATAATATCCGAGTCAACGACACGAAACAAGCATTTTCCAACAAACGAATACGTACAGTCAGTCGTTCCTGTTCACGGGGTGCTTGTGGCACAGATCTGTCATGGTTGAAATTTGCATAATTGCGATGATTTCCATTGTGATTTCTCGGAATAATTGAGGGCACTGCAAATTGATCTACTAGTTTCAGTGGTGCGGCTTTTGTTTGTAATGAATTTCTGGCGGGACTGATGTAATTGGGGGGTGTGTGCTGTTGTCGAGGAGGCGATGAGGTCTTTTGTTGCTTGTCAGTTTTGAATGAGGGAGGAGGAGATTCCTTCTAAATGGATCCATTAGTATCTTTGCCAGCGATCAGCATCATCGAGGAGAATGTCATTACCGTGGATGGGTTATCAAATGCAATGTTCAGCGAAGACACATTGCGCTCAAGACTGCTAGAGTCGTTGGCATTCTGGATACTGATATTGAACAAGCCTTCGCTGCTGCTGCCAGAGGATAACGAAGAGGGAAGCTCTGTAGGAGTAGCTATCATACTTGTATTAGGGGTCTGTGATGCCAATGGAGGCGAAGGTCGAGTCGTGGGCGAGTGTCTCATAGTAGTAGGTGGAGCAGAGGCCGAGCTCGGTGTGGAATCGTTCAATTTTCTGCGCAGATTTCTAGGACTTTAAGGAGATAGTGTGAGCCAATCAAGCATGCAACTGTGCTTATGGACTTACAAGGTGTGGTCTGTTTGAGCTGCTCTAATAGGAGACTACATTCAACATGTGTCAGTAAGCGGTTTAATGAGATTGGCAATTGCTCACTCACAAAATTTGGCGTGGGCTCTCGTTCTTCTGGCTGGTTTCTTTTGGCGGAAGGTGGACTGTAATCAACCATGTGCTCTACTTTTACTGCTACTTTCACCTCTTGCTTTAGCTCGTCTTTCATTGATGTATCCATAGGCTCGTCCTTGGTGGTGGCCGTACTATGGTGCTATTGTAACAAAAGGGAGAATGAGTGGGGAATGATGGAGCATGTCGACACAGTGATTACACTTTACATCATTTGTCAAGCTCGAATTCGAATACTCTGGTGGATCTGACTCGAAGCAATCAGGCTCAAAGTCAATGTCCTCGTCGTCTTCGTTTACAACTTTCCAGACGTCTACTGTGTGCGAAAAGATTTCATATCGAGTAATGTCCATCGCTTCTCTTGACATGGATGCTGATCTGGATTGAAGAGAGTGGTCGCTCATGCCGCTTACGATAGGAGAGGCTGTCAATGTGTGTGTGTATGTGTGTATGATGGGGGTATAAGTGGAATTTGATAAAGAGAATCAATATCTGTTTTTTTTCCAAAGAGAGGTTTTTAAAATGGCCTTGCACACCCACCAAACAACAACAAAAAGGAAGCAACGTCTCTTTTCCGGCATTCAAGAGCCGCATCACATTCTCTGCGAGAGACGTCGTGTATATCCTCTCCTCCATTCTTGGGTGCTTGACCTTGATCCATTATTATATATATATACAAAGCCAAGGATTGGAAATATACATCAACATATTTGGAATTTTAGAAGATTTTTCTTCACAGTTTATTTATATTCTATCACTTTGTAGGGCTTTCCAGTCTTATCCAAAAGAGCATTCCAATAAGTGTCGATATCAAATATATAGTTGTACTGGCCACCCAGACTCACTTCCATTTGCTTCAAAGGTATGTAGTCATCCATGTTAATTTGATCGTTGTTGGTGCTCTTGGTATCATCTGAATTAATAAATTTGATCTTGTTTCTTGTCACAGGGTCCATGAAGGGTGCAATGACTTTGAATGTCGTAAGGAAAAACCATGGTGCTAGCACAAGTGGATGGTAAGACATGTGTCAAATGGGTTACACTACAAAATGTTACTTACAGTTCACCAAAAATGCGATACCGAGCCTCTCTGGGTAGTGGTTTCCCAAGATGTCTAGGAACTTTTTGCAGGTACCGATGCTGGCATTGTTGGATGAAGTGGAATCCTTGAAATCAACGACAATTGAAATCTTTTCCACGTGCTCAGGCATCAGACGGATACCCCTCTCCAAGCAGAATACAATGTGCTTCACTTGTCTATCAGAATCCTTGGAGTTTTCATTACGAGGCTTCATGATCCAAAGAGGGCGACCAGTTTTATCGAATCCACTGAAATACATCTTTCCAGTCTCGGCCTAAATTCAAAAGGGCCTATGAGCTAACCAAAAGCTCATGTATGTTAGAGCCTCACTTACCTCGTGGCGAATCATTTCTTCATCCAATTCATCTGGCTTGAACTCTCTTCTCCACTTGACAGTGTTCTCCAACATGGTCTTGGCTGCCTACACAACAATAGAGCCATGTTTTAAGCATCATGACAACTGACGTATCAGTCCCTTCCCTCCCCCCCCGCTCCTGTTTCGTTTTTACCTCAAAATCCCATTTTCTTGCTCTCATGTATCTATGAGCCGTACCCTCAGATAAAAAGCCTCGTTCATTGGGATAGTAGGGATCATCTTTGGGGAGGATAAGTGTATCCATGTAAGCTAATAAATCCACAATCTTCTTCTTTTGCTCATCGTCCAGAACAGGGTTCATGACGGGTTCATACTGTGTGGGTTGAGTCAGGATGGGCTCATGAGTGATTGGCCCGTAATCAACTGATGGTGTGGCAGATTTGGTGCTGTTGGCAGCAGATGAACTTGATCTAAAACGAAATACGTTCATAGTTCAAAGTAGAAAGAGGAGAAGAAAATAAAAAAGAAAAGAAAATCCGGGTGTCTGCCAGCCAAGATAAGCGAGCAAGCCAGCGCGCGCGCAATGTCCTTATTACAATCGCCTATTTTTAGAGCCAAGAGAACTCAACAAACGGGACGAAATGCAGCCTTTCCCTTTACCAGATTTTGCACTGCTTGCATTACATAAACTTCCTTTTAGAGTAATGTAAAAGGAGTATGGACGTATTGATTTTCCGGATAAATCAATGCCTAAAAGTGCCATCCGAAGTGTATCGAGTTGATAAAGGCTTATTTATTTTATGAAGAGCCTACAATAAATTGTTGGCTGAATCAAATGCAAACACGGCATGACGCGTGCGTTTGTTGGGTTTACATCTTGGAGTCTTTAATGGCTCGGTGCATACTCTATTAAAGTAGGGGCTTTGGTAGTAACATGGATACTAATTTTGCTCATCTGGGTTTATCAAAGTCTGTTTTAAAGGCATAAGGTATCAGCAGCTTGCATACTACCTCAAACATGCTAGAATAGAGTGCGGTTGGTTTGAAACTGTCTTATACTGCCCTCTTATCTAAAATTGCTTCTCTAGGAAACTAAAGGTACCTTCCATATAGCTAAACTACAGTGTGCCAACATGTAGTGCTATACGTGAAATACACAACTTCATCCACCAAATAACCTCAATTTTTCTTAATTTACAACAGCATATCCCAGTTGAGCGATTGAAGAGCGACTGCGGAGCGTTAAGTATGAACATCAATCTGGATTGATTTTGTTCTAAATTGTCATTTTTGGAAAATTTACAACCTTTAAAGAGTTTTTACATCCCAAAGAGGATACTAAACATTCATAAGTTTTCTAACAAAACACATACATTCAAATGTGCTCTATTCGATGGCATTTTTTGTTTTCACAATATCGCTGAAAATTGCATCGATAATCCCAATAAACTGCTTTTTCAGTTTTCTGGGAAAAAAGTCAAAATAATTGGCTTGTATGTTGCAAATAAACACTTTCATCAGATAAAGACATGATTTTTATGCATGTTCATCTGATATGTACCTTAGTAAAAACTTTCGTTTTTCAACTGAAAAACTGATATTTGTCTGATTTGCAATTTTTCCCTTGCTACTACAGGGTCGAAATCGTCAAGTTTTGAGGTGAAAAAAAAAAGTTCCCAGAAAAACTGTGAATTGTTAGCAGATCGATTCTACTATTCTGTAGGACTCGTTTGGTGCCGTTTTCAGCGTTTGAAATGGCTTTTATCTGCGTGATTTGGCATCTAAAGCGTGTATATGTTGACTATTGAATTGGTAGTTTTGCTGTGTAAAACCTAATATGTTCTGATTATGATGCTGGATTCATACCAACGTAGCATTTTATCGTGGTACCAGAGCCGAGGCTATCGGTATTCCCTCTTATAAAGTAGTCCTGTAACGGATTGCCCTGCATCAAATGACGGACATGCAAGCAAGGCTAGATGCTTGTTATTGATCCAACATGATACGAACATATTTCTATTATCATTCAACACTATAGCATGTGAGTTTCATAGATTATCAATGGCGCACATGGCACCTTAATGAATCAGCTTAATACCATGGAGCAGTAATTGATTGTAGGATGAAACAACAGCCCTATGAAGTAATCCAAAGAATCTCGAGGCACCCCGCTTGTCAATAAAAGCTTTGCATTTTTCCGTTTTCTTTTTCTTTTTTCTTTTTCCTTTAAATTAATCAGGCAAGATGGAAGAAGAAAGACTCTGGAGAAAGCAGTTTCAAGACACAACCAACTCATTGAATGAAAGCCAACGACAGTCAGTACTTTCCAAGGCAAAGACGCTGCAAATCTTGGCTGGTCCTGGTTCTGGAAAAACTCGAGGTAGAGTTGATTGAATCATCACAAGCTTTCGAGTTTGCGCTGATTGCATTATACCAAAAGTCTTGACTTGTAGGGCAGCCCACTTTGTTCTCAATGAAAAGATCAAGCCTCAGCAAATCATTGTAGTGACATTTACCAACAAAGCAGCAAACGAAATGAAGGAGCGATTGTATACCATGATCGGAAGCAAGAATACGGACAACTTGGTCATTGGCACTTTCCATGCTATATGTGCTCGTCTTTTACGCTACAATGCAGGCGTTGTGGATCTTAAATCAAACTTCACTATTGCAGATACAGATGCTAGGTAAAACCCAAATGTTTTGATAAGGATGCAGCTCGAGTGCTAATAAGCAATCTCTAGTCATGATATTATAAAGAGGCTTCAAAAGGATCCCAAACTGCCCATCAATGATTTCACCAGAAACAAACAAAAGCCAGGTAATGACACGATATCACAGTACCGTTGAAACTAGCAGCTTACCGGATGTATATAACGTTGTAGGTGCTATTTTCGGTATCATCAGTAAAGCAAAGAGTGAAGGCATCACAGCACCAGAGTTTAGCAATCTTTATTCCCACAAATATGAAAGAAGAGACATTGCTACAATCTACACAGCCTATGAGAAAGAACTGCAGCTGAACAATCTAGTTGTATGTGTTTACGAAAGAAGGAAATTGAGCGCCATCACTCACTATCTCTGTAGGATTTCGACAATCTTCTTATCAAGGCGTGTGAGCTCTTTAGGAAGAAAACCAGTGTGTTGGCCCATATCAAGGCTGTACTTGTAGATGAGGTAATGCCATGAGTGTGGTGTACAATGTACTGTAGCGCTCATCCTGTCTCTTTAATAGTATCAAGATACCAACATCATTCAGTACGAACTCATCAAGTTAATCACAAAAAACCAGCATACTGACAAGAGCGTTACTATTGTTGGCGGTATGTATGCATCCTGGATAAAAGCAAACATGGACAACTCATCTTGAAATGTGTCTAAATAGATCCAGATCAGTCTATCTTCAGTTTTAGATCAGCTGAACCCGAGAACTTTAACAAAATGCACAATGATTATTCAGATACCCAAATCATCAACATGGACCAAAACTATAGAAGCACAGGAGTCATATTAGATAGCGCTCTACATGTCATTAAGCAAGGTAATACATCTGAGCACAAAAGCATGAGCCTTGGTTGACTGACAGGCGTGGAACAGACGTTAAACGTATCGATAAATCTCTCTATACAAACAACCCAGTGGGCATCCCTATCTCCCGCATATCTACATACGACGAAGATGAGCAGGCTACATTTGTAGCAAAAGAAATCAAGAAGGTCATGAAATACTCCAAGGGGCTGCTCGATTACAAGGACTTTGCAGTACTGATGCGTATGAATTATATTTCGCAAAAATTCGAAGCTACTTTTAGGAAATATCGCATCCCTTTCACTATTGTAAGTATCTTGTGGCTTCAGCGTATACACTTGCAGAGGCTGAATAGACTGTGTAGATTGGTGGTGATAGATTCTTTAACCGTATCGAAATCAAGGACATACTCGCTTATCTCAAGTTTGCATACAACAACTTTGATGTTACGAGCTACAGCCGCATTATCAATGTACCAAAAAGAGGGATTGGTGATGTGACACTGACGAAAATTGCAGCGTTTCATGAGACCCGACCAGGTAACAGCATGTTGGAAACACTGCACGCCATAGGAAGAGGAGGCGGTGCATTTAGCAATCCCGTTTGTCAAAAGTTGAAGAGCTTGGCCACGCTTTGCGACGATATCAGGGCCATGATTGACCAAAAGATATCTGTCTCTGAAATCCTCGTGTTCATCACTGAAGCAATCGGATACAAAGAGTACCTGAAAGAGAAGTACTTTGCGGATCATGAAGCTAGATGGAACAATATTGGTGAACTTATCTCTTTGGCCAAAGCAGAAACTTATCTGGGAGAAGATGATGAGCCAGCCATGTCACAAAGCCAGGCGCAACAATCTCAAACGCAACAAAGCCAGAACGCTCAAGGTCTCGATGATTTGGATATAATTGATGCTGAGGTGGTTTCAGACGATGGCAGTGATAATGGAGGTACGTATAGGCATGCGGGTGAGCTGAAGAAACTGCTGTTGATATTAGTTGTTTGTTAGATAAAGTAGAGAAGGATGCTCTGGATGATGATGAGGAACTCTCTGGCTTTGCTGCCGATGATGAGACTCTTCATAAATCCACTGTCCATGATGAGGATTTTCCTGACTTTGCTGCCCACGATGAATCTATTGCCGATTTCACAAGTTACTTTTCAGATGAAGAGATTAACTTGACCAACATCACAGAAGAGTAGGTACTGCTGGATTTGCAAGGGATCATGTGTGTTGACGGGAATTCATATAGACAAGAAAAGAAATCCTTCCATTTCGCGCAAAAAGAGTAAGCTGTTTGCAATGAATGACTTGAGACTGCATTGCACTAAACCCGCGCTTACAGGTATGATCAGACTAAGGGCTCAGACAATGCTAAGAAGGAAGAGCAAGAGTAAGGAAGGCATACTGATCTCAACAGCAACGTATGCTAACATGTGTGCAGAGAGAACCTTGGCTCTCAATTCCCTAATTACCAGCATGAACTGGATTCAATTGTCGAGTTCTTAGAGTACTGTTCCTTGAGTGCCAATCAGAAAGAACAAGATGAAGCAGAGGGAGGCGTAAGTACATTTCAACGCACATGGATTTGGACATGACAACTAAGCGTTGAATAGAGAGTTACTGTGTCTACTATGCACGCTTCCAAGGGTAAGATGATATGAGCAAGCTTGGTCAACCAACTAACCCACTTGTGTTATTAGGTTTGGAATGGCCTTGTGTGTTTGTGGTCACTTGCTGTGAAGGTGTTGTGCCTATGCACCATGATCCAGATGTATCAGAAGAAGGGTAATCCCTATTCACCCGCAGCTTGTCGCACATGTTCTGACTCTTTTACATATATAGTCGTCTATTATATGTGGCCATGACAAGATCGAAATGTGGGTTGATTCAATATGAATAGCCACATGCATTACTGACATTCTGTAGTCTTGTTATATTGTATCACACCAAAGAAACGAAATTTCTGGGGCCAAATGGAAAAAAGCGAGCCAACCCGCTTTTTCAAAAGTATGGACAGGAAGCTATATACAACACAATCGCCTGAATGGACCAACGAAACGAGATCCATGTTGGCTGTTACGATAGGCAAACTTGCTCCCCTGGATGATGATGATCTGGTCACAGATAAAAAGAAGAGCGGCAACAAGAATACAGCAGACTACTCTACTCAATACACTGATTCTCAATCTCAGGGCTTCTACTCGCAATTTCAAAGCTCACAGCCATCATCTTTCGTCAAAACTGAAAGTAAGCCCTCCTTTGGTGGATTTGTATCAGCCTTAACTATCCCTGATGTGAGACCATCCACATGCCCAACAAAACGCAAATTTCAGCAGGGCAAATCACAAAAGCAGAAGCGTACTGCAAGACAACCAGCCGCATTTGATCTCCAACCCAATGTAAAGGCTGAACCTTTGGTGAAGCCTGAGCCTGCTGTCAAGCCAGAGCCAATTGATCGACATCTCTAATGACGCTTGCAAATAGCCTATGAAAATAAGGATATACAGTACAAACAGGATGTGTATTAGTCGAGATTCTTTATTCTGTACAATGCATGATATGTAATATAATTATAAGCGTTAATTTTAGTCGTCTTTATCATCTCCATTTGGCAAATTCTTCGCGGAAAGCATTCAAACGTTGAGTAGAAAACAAAAAGTAGTCAAAATCAATCTCACTCTGGCTTGCTTGAATCAGACCCCATAAACCCCAAGAAAGATGGCTTGCCATGAGCCACATGGCAGCTTCTTTCTGCAAGCATTCGGCTGTAACTGCTTTGTCTAAAATGTCTGGATTGTTGTGTTTAGACTTGGTTTCCAGGTAGGCGTTCAAAAATCTGATCTGTTCCTCGTAAGTAGGATATTGGCTCATGTCCATCGATGCAGGCTGCTCAGAGTGATAATCGTATGTCCATTCACAAAAGTGGTTAGCAATATCGAACCCACGGGGATTGTAGCCTGCGTATTCAAAATCAACAATGACCAATTCGTTGGTCTTTTCCAACTTGAGTACATTGCCATACTGTGTCTATGTGATAAATAACATTTTAGTATGCTGGATCCACACAGCCGCATGTCATGCCATTTACATCGTTATGTCCAAACACAATGGGGGATTTTGCGGTTTCCAGGATTTGTTTGCACTCTTCGATTTCAAATGTCAGGCGCTCCAAATTGAAGGTTGTCAGTACTTCTGTCCAGCCATCACTCTTTTTGTAAAGTACAGGTAACAATGACATGACAACTCGATACCATTTGTCAATGTTGGCCCATATTTCCAGATGATTCTTCGCTGGTGAAAATGGATATACAGTGACAATGTCGTGCAGTTCGCGAATGCAAGCAGCAATCCCCTTGGAAGTCTTGGGATCACGAATATCATGGTGGGTTAAAGTGGTGGAAGGCAAATATTCCTCAAATCGACCATTACCAAAGATGCCCAATAAACTGGGTCCAATATTCAAACTGGAGAGGCGAGCAAGCCAAGCTAATTCATTCTCTCGGTCGATGATTTGGTCCACTCCATTACCGTATACTCTCAATAACAAACGACGCTTGTTGGGAGCATTGACAAAGAAGACGGCACTATTGCACACCATGTCAATATAGGGCCAGTCATGTAGAATACACTCACCTACTTTGTCAAGGCACCACTCACTCTGTTCAGCTCAATCCTGGTGAGATTTTCAGCATAATCCGGGAAAAGCACTTGAATTAGCTTGAGCACTTTGTTTGTTAATTCATCCCCCTTGAGTACACTATGATTTGATGAGTATCTACATGAATATCCTTGCTGAGAGGCCCATAGGAATACGTACGCTAGATCAATGATTGTATCACAACCTGGAATGGAGGGCAGCGTTTCTCTTTCGGGTGATGCCATCAGTTTGCTGTTAAACGGAAACGAAGGAAAGAAGAACAGAAACAAGGCTTAATTTTTTATAGGTTAGAAATATCGAGACACAAGATTAAATGCACCCCATGCTCCAAGCCAATTTCTGGCATACAAACGCTACTCTGACTGATTGTTTGCATCAGCATCGCCAATGCTACATAATTCCAGACATTAACATGTTGATAGAATGGAGACGTTTCGGCCTATATTATCTGTTGATTAGAAGGAGCAAGTAGGATGTGATGCTGCAACACTTTCTGATCGCAAGTCCGGAAAAGAACCCGAAGGGACTCAATAACAGAGCAGAATCTTGAGTTTTACAGTTGAGATACACGAATGATTTCAAGCAATGAAAAGTGAAATTGAGGTTTTTAAAGGTATTGAACTCAATGCATGGTCTAGCAGCGTCGTTTGGTGCATTTCGTGCTAGAGGCAGTGTTGAATCTCTCATCTGATAGGGTGCTTCTCTCTTTTTTTTTTTTTTTTTTTTTTTTTTTTTGGACATCTTCCAAACGTCTTCGCATCTACTCGTCTCCATGGTAAAACAAAAGAACATGAATGGCATAATTTTCTCCAGTAGACTTTCAGTAGTAGCATGTGCCGCTGGTTTTACAAACAATCAAATGGCAGGTGGATTGAATGTTGATAACAACAATTAGATGATCTGCTCGTACTCATCAATCTTTTGACATTTCGCAAATGATGACAATGTCCAGGGATATACCACAAGGCCATAAACACAGCATACTTCCGCTACTAATAATTCTGATCAAATAAACCCCCCCCCCCCAACGTCATGATCAAGATAAAACTGTTCAACCGATTTAATGGGTTACTGATGCAGGCATGGACACCAATTTGCTGCTGTTTGGGTATAATAAAGGCTCTTGTTCATGCTCATGACCATGGTTTACTCCTTTCTGTTTTAGGATTGTTACTGTCAACATACCATCTTGGAGCATTGATTGTTCCTGCATGTGTTCTTTAGGTGAATTCATTGCACTGCATTCACCAGGAACAATGAAATGGCATGCAAGCAATATGAATATAACAGCGTATGCTTTTTATGATTTCCCTTTCTTTTCTTCCCCATTTGTGAATATTCCAAATGTCTGAATTGAGAGATTATCAAACAAGATGCATCGACATCACTATCAATCACTTGAAAAGGGGGATATATCGTCAGCTCATGTGTCTTCCCACAGGTATGCCAAATCATTTTGTCTATGCTGGAGTACTGATCGTGCCAATGCTGGCAAACAGGCAGCGGGAAAACGGTAAGTGTGTATGTGCATTTTTTGAAGGGAGACGCTCTAACAACACATTTAGGTTATTTTTGCAAACTTAATTCCTACGATACCTTCTCCTAATCCACAGGCATCAAAGGTACTTGTTTTGGCTCACAGAATAGAGCTTATAGAACAAGCAAAAGATCAGATCCTGCGATACAACCCTGACTTGGTATGTAGGATCGCTGTAATAGCTGATGCACCACTGACAAAACACTCCAGACTGTGGATGTTGAGCAGGGACATCAGGAGAGTCTTTCTCTAAACCCAAATGTAGTGGTTGCATCAATCCCAAGCTTGACCAGTACAAATAAACAAGGCACCAAAGGACATCGCTTGCAAAAGCTCAATCCAAAGGAATTCAAGGCCATCATTGTGGATGAGGCTCACCATGGCGTCTCTCAAAGCTACAAAACTATTTTTGACTACTTTGGTGTGCTCAACAAGAGTTCAACTACGCTATTATGGGGTTGTACAGCTACGCCGGCAAGAGCAGATAGACAATCATTGACGTCAATTTTTGGCCCTGTACTCTACAGCGTCAATATGATGGAGCTTATCAATAATGGATTCTTGAGCGACTTGCAGATTGTCACGGCCAAAACAAACGAGCAATTGGAGGTGAATGCCTACTGCAAGTTCGTTGTTGACAAATGGAAACAATTTGCACTGCCTCAAAATAGAAAATCAACGCTTGTGTTTGTCAAGAAGCTACAAGATATTCCAATCCTCTGTAAGGCGTTCAACAATGCTGGCTTCAACAGCATCGACTCTATTACCCAAAGCACTGAGCAAGCCAAGCGAGAAATGGTGATGGATGATTTTAAGAATGGAACCTTATCCATCCTGGTAAATTGTGGCAAGTCTCCAAGAAATATATAGAAAAGAGCACAGTATGTCATTGACATTTTCGTGCAGAAATTTTTACAGAGGGTGTGGATCTCCCACAGGTAGATTGTATTCTTTTGGCCAGGAAGACCAAATCGCCAGCTTTTCTGTATCAAATGATCGGTAGAGGCTCTCGATTGCATCCAGAAAAATCAGATTGCTTGGTCATTGATTATCAGACGAACTTTGAGAGATTGATTTATAGCATCTTTGATAGTGGAGACGACTCGGAAGAGCTGCAAACCAGTTGGCTCTCAAAGAGGCAGTTGAGCATGTGGAAAGCCAAAGTAGATTCAGGAACCGAGCATTATGGTGGGTGACACTACAGCTATGCCTTCGAAGAATGCATTAACAACTCATTGCTATTTAATATTAGACGAAAATGATATACAAATATCTCAGTACAGTAGCATACAGGAAATGATCCAAACAGGTTTTGTTGCCGAGCATAAAGTCGAGCGAAAAGACGAGCTTAATGTCCATGAATCGACAGACCCCGTACCTTCTGCCGCTACATCGCTGTATAATGTTATTAATGAGTAAGTCTGCATATTTGCATGAAATCTATATGTCCATTACTGATAAACATTCATACTTTGTAGTTGTATTGAAGCTCTAAGTAACATTCGCCTACGGTAAACTTCTTGTTTATTGGTATTTGACGCAAACGCCATTATCACAGCTTTGCAATATTTTAATAATGGGCACACGCTCATTTGTAATTATCAAGCCACAAAAATAAACACAATTGAAATCGCCTTGAAAAGTTGCTGTGCACCTAATTCTTCTCGGATGCTTGATTGAAATACTCTGCTCCAAAAAAAAAAGCTACTTGAGTTGAAAAAGTAATGTAAATTTTGATCCGTGAGGCTTTTTCAATAGAAATCTAAAACTTGATATATCCAGCGATGCTAATCGCTTATGTATTATGCTAATAAAACAGGCTCTATTATTACAAGTCAAAAGCAAAAATAGGCCGGATGGTCTGAAAATGATGATGTGGTTAATGAGATTGAATGATCCAAACCACCTTTCTAATATGCCAAGCATTAAATGCAGACTATCTATTGCGTCTAAAATGTCTAGCGTGCCTTACAATCGTCATCACCTCACCAATTAGCTGTGTCATTGTGCTGTGATAGAATGATACAATAGTTCCACCTAGTTTAATGTTTCCAACTGGATATATTTGGATGTAAAAGCATGCTCTAAAACTAGATTTATGCATACAATGTATTTATGCTTTTGTATCATAACAATAACGCATCTTTTAATAAGCAAATGTATGAAACACAGCCAAATTTGACAGCTTGCAAGCCTAAATATCTTGCCATGTAGACCTCTCTGAGCCACCAGAATGACGCCAAACAATTGTACTCGAGTAGCAGTAACTTCCTGACACCTTTGCTCAACTTTTTGGGAACCCAAAAAACATGGCCAAAAATCGACCAAAAAGCATGAGGGGTATACCCCATGGTTTTCTTCAAAAATCAAACGATCGCGTCTTTCACCTTGAAAATGAAGACTTCTACTATGACATATATTAAACCAAAATGTTTCTCTTCTCGATCTAAGGCTACCCTGAAACTTTGTTTTTGAGATCTATACGTAAATTTTTGACATTTCGGCCAAAAACCTAATTTCATATTTTCCAGGATTGCTCAATAAGTTCGATCAAAACATGTATTTTACTTGGCATCATTGGATGCGCCTTGGAAAGTACTTCAAGAATGTATTAAGAAACATTAGATGGTCATCACAATTTATATAGTCGGATAACGCAAAATAGATCAATCAAGTCGAAAAAAAAAAAAAAAAGATTTTGACCAATTTTGAGAAGAAAAAAAAAAAATTCTGAGTCTAAATCAATTTTGACGCTGCTGCCTAATTAAAATGCCCTTCTGGCAATGACAATGATGATTGCGATACTAATTAAATGGGGATAGTGAATTTTAAAGAACAATTGCTTCGCCTGAATACTTGTTATTACTCTTGTTGGGCATGTTTATACCTGAAATTGCCAGTCAACCTGGCTCCCCACCAGAATATATGTAATCGTAACTTCCTAATCATGATTTGCAGCATTTGAACATGGCATGTAGCCAGCAGTGTGCGTTTCATTGATTCATTCGACAGAGACTATGGCGCCTGCCTGAAACGTTATTTTGATATGCTATGAGGATACCTTTAAACTTGTATCAGAATGTTCATTAGGAATGATGGTTGCAATCTCGTTGACATTTGCAGATTCTGAGTGCGCCCATCTTCACCAACAATTAACTCCAATCTCATTTGAGGGTTTAGCCGACTATGAGCATCTTTGTTGATGTGATTTCAGGCTTTTCGTTCTTCTTCTTCACTCAGGATCTCATGAATATGTCTGTAAACGCGAACAAAGGTTTTTTGGGCTTTCCGGTGCTCAATGTTTGACTATATTAAATGAATATCTACTGAGATTAAGGGTACAAAAAAAGCAGCTTCGATATAGTAAGGCTAATTTTATATGATACAAAAGTTTATCTACGCAGGATCTTACAACTATATACAGATTATTGTGGCCTCTTCTCTTGTTTCGATGGTCTTTTTCTTCTAGAAGCATCTTCATTCTTATATTCTTCCAACACAGAGGGGTTATATCCATAATGAATACCGTCTTTCTGCGCATCTTGCTTGGAGCTTAACGGTACTAGTACATGCCATCAGTACATGTATTTGAATATGTAGGATTGTAGCAACTTACGGAACCAGAGCAGTTTGTTACTGCCCATGACCTCCACCCAATTTGCCCGACATCCTTGGTTAAACACATTTCTTCCAGTTTCAGTAAACACTTCTATTAGTCTATTCTGTGCTTCGCCGGATTTCTTTGCCTTGTTCCAACTTTGGAATTGTGAGTTTTCGATAGTTGTTCGATTGAGAAGCACAAGCCATATGTGAGACATTGTAAATGTCCCTATCATGAATGTAATAATCCCAGAACTACTATAGCGTAAGTATATAATGCAACGCAACAAACATAGTTGACACTTACACGATGACTGTGGCGAGCGCTACATTATCAAATGTCGCCTAGTTAGAGCATGTATTAGTAGTGTCCAATCAGTACACGACCAGTTCTTACCAAACCATGAAATTCAACAAATGCTGCTAATGAAGAAGCAAATGTAAATGAGCCCAAAAGCGACACATAGCATAGAAATTGGATATAGTAACGGTAGTTGGAAACACCCACACATCCATTGACCCTGCAGAATGACGGTTAGTATATACACGGCATTTTAGCAGCTACACCATTCGTTTACCAAGGGCAATGACTACAGCAAATCCATTAGCAAACATGACGCCAAGTTGTTACATAATACCTACTGATCCATTCGAAGTACACATGCATCACAGACTCGACAATGGTGAGCCCGATCAGGCTTCCAAATTTGACATGCTTCGCACCATTTCGGGTCTCCCAAAATAGTATCAGGTTTCTGCTGTGTTAATTTTAGGTCTTCGATCCTATCAATATTGATGGAAGAATCATGATGTGTTCCTTTTGTTGAGGTGGGGTTGTCCATGCCGAGTAACTAGAGAGAGCAATGTAAGTTGATACTGCATTGAACCACTACATGAAAATCCCTACATTTGGATGTCCAGGTGTTTGTGATACAATCCTTCCGTAAGATATCAAAAAGAGTATAAACAGCACATTAAAAGGGACCAGATATCCGATGGCCTGTGCTTGGCGGTCCAATTGCCTCAGCAAAACCACTGAAAGAGAAAGTGCCATGAGTTATTAGCGTCCATTAATCTGCAATCCAATACTTACAAACGATGCTGTGTAAATAGCCGTAGTAGACAAACACCAGTATGCCAGTAACAATCAGCACTGGTACCCATCCCCAGTCTCGGTGCTGTCCTGGCTTCTTGCCCTTTGGTAATGGCATTGGGAAATCTGTCAATGCTGAAAAGAAAAAGACCAGAGGCCATAATATCGCATACACTGGTGAATCTGAATGGCAGCAGCAGCAAATCTGGGTATCATGCACATCCGGATCATCAAAAGCTGTCTGCTTTTCATCGTTTTGATTTGATTTCATGCACATTTTGAACGGATGTCGGCCCACTCTAAGAAATCGATCTGATAGACGTTCCAATTTTGACATGTCAGAGGTATACAGTGGTATAATGAGAAAGCAGGGAAATACAGAAGAAAAAGAGACACTGTATGTAAATGGAAAATAGAACTCTTTTTATTTCAACTATGATGTATGAGCTCAAAGGCGGGTATTCAATCCACGTGCCAGTTTTACCACCATTACCATCATCATCATGTATTCAAGCTCTGGATCAACCTCCGTGTTATTTGACTACTGTGATGAGGAATTGTTTGTTCTTTCAATGCCATAGATTGTATCATTTGACACTGTGAATGCATGGTAGTGTGTGGGGAAGGTAACTGTGGGCAATGTGATTATTAGCTTCCATTTGATTAGTTGTTAACGTCGTACTTGCCTGTGATTCTCTTTAGTTTATCTTGTTGAATCTCGGGCGTCGATTTCCCTAATAGCGATGCATCCGATAGTAATTGATATGCAGCCAAGCCTGTCTCTGGCCTGAACTGTGAGGTGCTCTACACATGGATGAACATCAGTTGGGTATGAGTATAGTATTCGTGTATACAATCTTTACTTGTAATATGTTCCCATCTGAAGCAGATGCTGAAAATGATGAAATGTGTGCAGGTACGTTGGCTAAGGCTTCAAAGTTGGGATCAGACATGCTATTGATTGTGCAGTTCTGCTGTAACGTGAATGTAGGTAAAAGGAGCAGCAAAGAAAAAAGTTATAGTTTGGGTTTATAGGTGTGGCATTGGATGGGTTGAATAGTTTATCCACCTGAATAGACGGATCATGACGTTGGTTTGTACTGAAAAAGTAACACTCTACGCAGCTCATCATGCAAACTATTTGGATTGAAAAATCCCAGTTATTGATCCCAAATGGCACTCTAGCACTTGTTGAATACATAAACTTTTTTTTATATGAATATTTACAATGGAATCTATTACTATTTGACATCTATTTCTCTAATAACTGCAGTTGGGTAAAAGTCTTGAGCCCCTTCTCATAAGCACCCAAGAAGATGCTTCCGCCTATCGATATCCACATCACTCTGGGCCCTATCCCTGCCAGCAGCTTTTTAGCTCCTTCCTCTCTCACAATTCGTTTCATCGTCTCTACAATGCCTGTATAGGGTCGATTGCTGGAACTCTAATCCATCTAGTTCAGTGTCTCGCCCATTCATTCTCATGACACAACTTACCTTGGATGAGAGCATAATCCGAGTTTTACACACATCCAACGGTGTGGTAATCGCAGCACCAATACCACCCGCCAGGGATCCCATCACGGCAGCTTCCATTGGTTCCACTCGTTCGCCTTTGTATTGCCCATATTTGCTTTTGAAAAATTCGTACAATGGAAACTGGATGCATGTAAATGGTATCTCTCGAGCCACTGTCGGCAAAAATCCTCGATATAACCCCAGTAGCCCTTCTGTCTTTAGCACACTTGACACAGCGCCTATCGTTGTATTGAATTGATTGATCTGCATACGCTGCTTGATGACTTCTGTTGGCACACGCACTGTACATGCGGACTATGATCATTCTTTTAGTCTACTACTGGCATTCCCTGATCTGTGATTGCATGTCACTTACAATTTCACCACATGTAGCAGCTGTCATGAAAATGAACGGCGAATGTGATGACCCATCCGCAGAAGCACCTAGCAATCTCTTGATGGCTTCATATGTGACGAAAAATAAAGCAGCTACATCAGGATAAGCAATGTTAAAAAGTCTACTTTTAAGAGTTTGAATGGTGGATTAATTACCATTTGGAGCACTGCCTACAAATGCTGAGAGTAGACCCGAGTAAACACCTCGAAATCCTCCAGATACTGCAAATCCAGCTTGTGCTTGTAAACGAGTCTTGATGGTATCTGATGGCTAATGATGAGACGGAATGAACAGGATGTCTGCTCATCGATGCTACATTACCTAATGGAAACAAGACAGAATCTACAATCGTGCCAGCCATGGCGCCTGCTACCAGGGCCTGTCTAAGATTTGCCTGATATAAGGATTTTGCTTGGGGATTATCCTTTCCCATGTCAAACAAGAAAACTCTATTGGCAATGAAAAAAAAAGAAAGAAAGGGAGGAGAAAAAAGATCTTCCAAATCATCATGGAATCAAGCAGCCTGTATTCAAGTCACGACGCTTGCCTGAGAGAGACTGGAAGCATTTCTTTCACTTGGGTGATAATGACGGTATCGTCCATTCTGATTACAGGTAGCACAAGTCTTGTAGCTGCTGCACTGATACGCCAAACGCACACTCAATCAAATACTAAACCTATGATCGCATTATCAAGATCAGCATTACCAGAGGCAAGCGCTGCAAGGATACATTACGTGCGAGGCAGCGTATTTGATGTTGCTTGCCTGAGCAGCGTGCTACGAGGCAGTTCCAATGTTATTCACACGGTAGGCGCTTTCCTAGACGACAACAGCGAATCTGCAGACACAGCCTATGAACGCATCAACTGCGATTCATCCATTGTTGTAGCATGCGCTATGGCAGACAAGTTTGATGTCAGCAATGATCTACCACATCAACGCAAAGCTTTGGTCTACTTTAGCGTAGCAGCAGAATTTCCTGGCTTCATATTCGATTAGGATTGTGTCAACTCCAAGAGAGAGGCAGAAGCGGCACTGTTGGGCATTGAGTTCAAAAACAGAATGCGAGTTGTGACATTTAGACCAGGTATACTCATCCATTCTGCATGAATTTTATTGATGAAATGGCACGGAATGTTAGGCTTGATCTACTCTTTTCATCAACGATTCAGCATATTGCCACTCGCATTTGGTTTGTAAGTTATTTGGCTTCATGATGAAACCACTGCGATCTATATCCCACGACAATTGCACTTTCTGACTGATTTGCCGATTCAAGATGACGATATTGCCAATGCCGTGTTTGAAGCAGTCGATAACAAAGCAGTGGAGGGTGTATGCGATGGCGATAGGATCCGGTTGCTAGCTAAGGCTTGGGAAATGAAGAGAACAAGAGCTGATTTATTGTTGCATGGATGATTCTTTCATGATCTCATCCAGATTGGCTTCCAAGTAACGCTGTATATCTTATAAAAGGATCATTAAAAATAGCCGTCAACAAACGCTTCATGAGCTTACCTTGCAACTCCATATCATTTCGTATCACCAGTATTCCTTTAGTCAGTTCCTTGGGAGGTTGCTCGGAGGTATGTGCCAATATCAGCATTGGTATCTTACCCCACCATATCTGAGGCTGTAACTGAGGTAACCACTGACTCAATTTTGAAGCTGTCAATTTTTTATCGACAGAAGGATCAAACATGATTAAAGACTGATGTACAATGTCTTTATCGGTCCAATCTTGCTTTGATAGTGTAGATGTTTGTTCTTTATGCAGTTTCTCTGCAAATTCCTTTGTCAATGATTTGTATTTAGGGACTGATTCGTGCTTGAGAGATTGCTTTTTCACCATGTCTTGCACCATTTCCAAATCAGTAGGTAAAACAGCAATATTTGCTTGTTGACATAATTTGAAAAATGAGGCGGCTTTATCCCAGTCAGAATCTCGACTACGAAATATGCTGGAAACTGTGGGTTTGTCCTTTTTCTTTTGCCCCTTGATGAAGAATTCGAGTTTGACGGTGGATTTCGGTTGCTTGGATGTGGTTGTGGATGGCTGCAGAACATCATACAGGGACTGCAATGACGCAGCATTTGTCGTTTTCCTCAGTTTATCATGGTGAAAGAAGTCAGGATGTGTTTGCAATACAAACTTTCGTAGGTATGGCTTCAGTATCTTGTTTGCCATGGCTAGAGATGAGAAGAAAAACGACATCCATATCAATGTGACGTCCGTAAAGCAACATCACAGACAATTGAATGGCCGTGGAAGAATGGGATGGATATTCATCACACTTTTTTTTTCTCTACCTTATTCGCTAAACAACAGTGCAGTAGACGGCATTCGCAGCGAAAAGAAGGCATTACTTACTACAACATATAGAACTAAAGTATGACATCTACACAGCAATATGTCTTGATTTCGATCAAAGGAGACGGTTTATTCAAAGCCATCGGCGTGTAGGGTATTCATCAGGAGAGGGCCATCAAATGTGAATATTGACATATGTTGCTATAGATATCAAAACGAACAAGATGCTTATGCAGCGGCAACTGTGTGTCAGATGCAATCAATAGAGAAATTTTCAGCGAAATGGTCCAAATCAATGCTAGCCGATAAACAAGAGAGCATCATGGAATTTTGTCGATGCATCAAGGAAGATTTCAAATCATACAAAGAGAGATTTGCATATATGACATTGCAATGTAGCCAAATCTTTCCAAACTTGGAGTATGATCAGCACCAAGTGTTACCCGTAGAAGCCAATAATAATATACCATCACAATTCATCAGCGAGTCCATCTTCAAAACCAAAGTGCGCAATTTCATGGACGTTTTACGAACAAGATCCGATGTCGAAGAAGATTTGGGCAATAGCGAAGACGATGACGAGGATGATGATGATGATGATGATGAAGAAGAGGAGGAGGGGGAGGAGGAGGAGGAAGACGAAGAAGAAGAGGAAGGCGACGGCGAGGAAGACATTGAGGATGAAGGTGAAGGCGAAGAGGACATGGAAGAAGAGGACATTGACCAAGAGATTGATGAAGAGGCAGATGAAGGCGTTGAAGAGGAGGAAGAAGAAGAAGATGAAGATGAGCCAGTGACAAGCGAGACGGCCATCCAAGAGCACAGTGAAGAGGAAGAGTCAGAAGATCAAGAACGCCCAACGCTGAAAAGAGATGCATCCTCATTATTAGAAGACGGAGATGCAGAAGATGACGAGGAAGACGAAATAGACGAAGACGATGGTGATGAAGACGAATTGGCAGATGACGACGATGAATCAGTCAAGCGAAGACGAGTGGTGGCATGAACGTCTCCTTTTCATTCATGACATAAGGTTGCCATGACAACCTCCCTGTTTGCTTTCTCTATACATAGTCATCATCATTATGCACAACACTCTAACTTTAAAATCAAAATACGTCAACAAATCTACTACATGTATAAATTATTGGCTAAAAAGATTCAATAAATCATCATCATGCTGCATTTTTAGTCTCCTGGGTTGTTTCAGTAAAAAGTATAAAAAGGTTAAATTAGGTACTGCATTATTTTCTCTTTCTTCATCTACTCTACAAACAATCAAACGATAGCATGGCGACAATTGACACAGACATTCCAATGCCTCAGCATGATACGAACACGTATCAAAACAAGGTGATCCCAATGACGGAAAAGACGGAGCAACCAGCACCACAGCAGCAACAACAGCCCAGTTTAATGACACCTCCCATATCTCCCATCAACACATCTGCCAACAAAGGCTCGCTGAAAATCACTGCTGGACAAACTGGCTTACCTTGGCTGACAAGAGATGCAGATGCTGAAGGCTTTTCTCCTACTGCAATGCAACAATCACCTCAGGAAATGAGCGCAACACCCACTTCTGCGCAGGGTAGCATCCATAGCACTGCTTCTCCACCTCCCAAGTTTATGGCACGTCCAAGAACTGCTTCGGTGATTCGTTTTCCCACAAGAAAGAGAACCATGCAAAAGCACATTTACACAATGAAGGATGGTTTGGATCCAGTCAAGGTTTTATGCAATCGATTGACTAGCTGGCAAGTTTCAGTTAAATATCTGGTATGTGAATACTTTGAAAGGGGGAACCAATCAATTGACCTTCTCCACTCATGTTTAGCTTAGCATGTTTCATAGCATAAAAAAGGTCGAGTCCAGTACTGGAAAAGGTTACCGAAAGATCGATTCAAAATCCACTATCCCCGTCAAGATTAAAGACCAATTCAAGTCTTCCCATGGTGTTCAAGATGCTTGGGCTGCTTTCAGACAGTACACAAGAGAGAATAGCTTGATTCACCAAGACTTTGTTGACTTTATTGAAAATGAAATTGTGCCGATACTGCATATCATCTTGAAAGATATTCACGCCATGATGCAGAGTTTGAAACACAACAAGGATTTGCGCACAAACACTTTGTGGGAATGCCGCAAAAAGGCTGATAAAGTCATTACTCAATTGAACTCTGATATCTATTCCGTTGTCAATGCGCAAGAAAAGGCCAAGAGCAATTATGTAATTCCCAAGGGCAGAGATCCATTATTATCAAAATATGGTACGTGTTACATCATAGAGAGCAGCACCTATCGGAATATACTTAATAAGTTTATAGTCGTCATTCATACTATCAGAGACCTCTACAAGCAAGAGAATCGACTGCACAAAGACTTTCTGGAGACACAAGACAGCTATCGTCGCTTTGAGCAAGAAAAGATCATCAATGTCTATACAGAGCTGTTCCAAACCTTTGAGCGCTACCGTGTCCAGCATCACCTCGAGAACTTGGAAGGGGTCACCAAGGTAGCTGGTATCTTTAACGCCATTGAAACAGATGCTGAATGGTTGGACTTTGTCCAACATCACGATAACGAACTAGTTAAGTCCAATGCAGCCTTTAAAGACGAGCAAGCACTTGATTTCCCCAATGCATCGCATCCTCTGGTCCAGCCCCTTGCCATTGGCGTTTTACAAAGGCATCATGGTAAAAAGTGGCACGAAGAGTACTATGTATTGAGTCCAGGTACGTTTCTCATCATTGCATTCAAATGCACGTCATCTCATTCCTTATGATTAGTTGGATTGTTGCATCGTTTCAAGTCTGAACAGGATCTACTGAATACGCCCTTGAAACCAGAAGCCACTATGTTTGTTCCACAGTGTACAATTCTTATCAATCCCCCGAGTCAGCTTTTGGAGTTAAAGGGCAAAGTATTAGGCAGTTTATTTGGTAGCAAAAAATTGGTCGAGCTGTCCTCCTCTGATTTTGCCTTCATCAAGCATTGGATCGATAGGATGGGCCCTATGGCTCTTCAACAAGAAACGGCTGTTATCAACACGCCTTTACCTCCTCAGCAACAACCTCAGCAGCAACAGGATGCTGTGGTTGCCGATAATCGATCGATTCAATCCAAAGTACAAGCTGAAGATGAACCTGAAAGTTCTAATTTAGGCGGTGTCACTCAAGTCGGAGCTGTTGCTGATGCTACCATGCAATCAATCGATCAAGGTGGCACCAGCAATGCATTCCAACCTATAACAAATGTCACAGCATCAGATCGCCATCACAACAATAGCAACCTCAGTCATCATTATGACGATCAAGACGATAGTGATCATGATTTTGCAAGACAGACTGTTGAATACTCTACTCATTCACCTGCTGCTGCTGCTGCTGCTGCTGAAGTATCTGACACCAATAACCCATTCCATACTATGTCTACCACAGCTTCATCCTCTGATCCAGCCATGACCAACACCGGCCCATCTACACCTATTGAAACGATGACTCCAGCCCAACAAAAGCATGGCGATGTCCATACATCTTTGGCCTCTGATATTAAAAACACCAACACGGCTGCTACTACTACACCATCGAGAATACCTGGTGTTGGTCCTACTCGAGAAGGTAGCGACATTTTCTGGGACACATCTGCTTAATTCTTTTATATTATAACTAGCTTAACTGTAATATCATAATTATCATTTATATAACGAACTTGAAGCAACAAATCATCATTGTTAAGGCAATAAAACCCAAAAAGGCCAATGTAGATTTGCATTAATAAACGTTCATAAAAACTAGATGCAAGATTGATATATATATATATTGCGCTTTTGCTAGCTGGCTACTGCACTTTTTTAATTACCTTGAATGAGGTTAGCCTATGTATTCGAAGATAAAGTATTTAAACGCTGATCAAACAATATTCACTCATACCATGCGGTTTTCTAGGTACGCGTGCCTCAATCTTTGAATTCGAGACTTTGATGATAGTGAAGTGCTTGAGGACATGTACTCGTATTAAATAGGTGATGGTCAAACGATAGGTTAGCATTTAGTCTGCAACAAGAAGCCCCTTACGCCTAACTGTAACGTTTTGCTTCGTTTATGAACGTAATACATGGCGAAAGATATTCTGTTTGCCTTTGCCATAATACAAATGAATTTTTGATCTGCAAATATATCAAAGTCCTTGCTATCACTTCATTTGTAAGCATCGTCAGTATCGTCAGTATTGTCTCTGTATCACTGACAGTCGTGGGTTCTTTAAACATGCAAAATTGTCACTGGAAAACGCTCCAGAGGAAAAATGTTTATTATCTTTCATTGGAAGAGGTACCATCAGCCTGAATCCGGTCTCTTAGAACAATGGCATATTATCCAGTTGGATGCCCTGTAATAAAGAAGCTCTATACTTCCGTTTTAAATACTGTTAACAACTGATTATTTCATCGACTCTATTATTACAAATTCATCAGTCGCAACTTCAAGGCTGTAGCGTCAGTATTTCAAAAGTTGATTTTGGAGGGCCCAAACCTCAAAACTAAAAAATACTTTTGTACATCCAGAATCTCTGATATGAGGTAGAAGATAGCAACCTATAAAACTGAAACATGTTGGTAAAATTAAGTTGTACCATTTTTTGGTATATGATTTGGCTGTACTTATACTTGCTGGGATGGATCAAATGACTAATTAGTGAAGATAAGGATTATAAATCACGAATGGAATAGACATGAATCGTCTAAATGAGTGATTATAATAATGAAATATATAATAGCGATATGATGGGAGTAGATTTAATGGTGACATATAAGATATCCTCACTAGAGTATTAAACTGCATTGTAATATTTGATGTATCACTGTTTGACAGGGCACTTGGTACTAGGAGAACCTGGTACCTAGTAGCGTGCTGCTGTAGTACATGCTATTATATAGCTTTTACTACATAACATGTTGTAAATCTGAAAAGTACGTGAGAATGGATGTAGGTTTATTTTCAATAAGAATCAGATGAAGAGGAAAGGGAAGAGTGAATGTCTACTGCTATTTATATGTATGATTTATGGATTGCTTGCGCACCGGCCTAGAATGGTGTTCTCATGCTAAGTTTTAGTGTCAATCCTCACTGATGCTTAATGGTAATTATTTCAGATATAGATGATCAGTCTAAATACCTTTAGTTGCCCTTGGCAACGTCAGTTAATTACATTCCTTATCTGCTCTCTTTTGACATATAAAGAATAGCTAGCTGAAACTTAGCTTATGTGGATATCATGGTTATCGTTTACATGTTAATACAGTTTATTTACATATGCTCCATATGTGCATAGTTTATTTCTGGATTCAATCTACAATATTGTGATTCAGGAACAGTTATATGTGTGAATACAACATAGCAAACCTAAAAGACATACCTCGCATTAAACTATGTAACCGGTGCTATGTTAGACGACTGTACCATAGCATAATTTTGAATAAAGGCTCTAAACTGTATTCATTCGGTCATTCTTTTATTACAAACACAATATCAAATTTATTGACGGGCCAACAGCAGATCAACTAGTTATAACCCTTCGTTACTTCAACCTCTTAGCCAATCAGATTGTTTGAAAACTCCGCTGACCTAAAAAAAATTTTGCGAGGGTTTCCCCCTGTTTTGATGTGAGGCAAAATTTTAAGCTCCGCTATATATATAGCAATATAGCCGTTACTATCATCAAATTTCCCTCAGGTGCTAGAGCATGCCTTACTTACACCACCTAGCTTTAGATTCTGGCATTGAGACTCTCAATCATCACTAAAGTAAGTAGCGATAACCAAGTGGAGGCGGCCTATCTACCTCCTAGCCTCGGATAATGTCTTGTTGAGCTTCAGGGATAGGCACATCCACACAACGTAAAAAAAGGTATGCTTCAAAGAAACATAATAATAATAAAAGAAAAGAATAATATGATACTATACGAGTATAGTAGTATGTAGGCAAAAAGAGACACTCGCATGAAGCGAGTCAAAGAAAAGCATAACAAGCACAACATCAAAGATGTTCAAGACAGCTCGTTGTTGTTGTTGCAATAAAATTGCATACATGGGCAACGTGCATGGTAGTAATAGTCGGATGTAAAGCAACATGGCACAAACACGCACAACTGCGAAAGCAACTGTGGTATTGTAAGTTTGCAATACAACATAATGACGAATGTTGTTTCATGTAAAGCTACAGAGGAAACACTACCAATAAAAGAAAAAGAAGGAGAAGAAGAAAACGCAACAAGGCAAACATCATGAATGCATTATCACGAGAAAGGAAGTAATAATATAAACATTCAAAGAAGTTTTATATCATTGCGACCAGAAGAAAGAAGATACTTACCACTTACCACAGCCACAGATACATCAGAAGAGTATAGGCAATCACCGGATATGAACCAGAGAACGAGCATGCACCAAATATAGTAGACCAGGAAAGGCCAGATTAGCAGCAGCAGCAGCAATACCAGTACCATAAACAAACTAAAGAACGAATGCCATTAGCAGAGAGCAGACAAAGACCAAAGAAGTTATTTACCATTTATCACTACCACAGATAGATCAGATATTACGCAATCAGCAGATATGAACCAGAGAACGAGCATGCACCAAATACAGTAGACCAGGAAAGGCCGGATTAGCAGCAGCAGCAATACCAGTACCATAGAAAAACTGAAGAATAAACGACACCACAGAGACTGGACAAAGGCTAAAGAAGTAACCATCAGACATGATACACCAAAGAAGCAGACAGTAAGGATAGCAGAGAAGTAATGACAGTAACACCCACGTCAAACAGACAAAAAGAATTATCAAAACCTAATAAACAAATTCAATTAGTGTTAATTCTACGCCTTCCAGTACTCGTTATTGCATGGTACCTACTATATTCCACTTAAATAAAGCAGTATAAAGTACTTTTAACAGTGCACGGCAATGCTATCAGAAGATAGAGTGTTATTATCAATTAAACAGTTCCCAAGACCACTATGGTTTGATACTAAACGCGCTTTGCAAAAAAGGGAAAAAAACGGGATATGGAAAAACGAGAGGGCCCCCTATCCGACGTCACGTTCAGTAGATTTAGTCTCAGTTTTTTTGCCGCGGCAACCTTAACTGCGGTGATTTAATATGAATTTGTGCAGTGGCTATTTTCATGTTCAACCTTGTTTGATCTGACATCTTTTAAACGTTTTTGCCAAATTTGACTATGAAAGCTGTCGTTATCATACCCAGCTTTCCATTATAACTTTACAGAACTAAAGAAGCTGCATCGAATGATGCTCATTACATTCAGCTTTCAGACCGAAAATAATGAGCAATTTGCAAAAGTATGAAAACATGTTTTTTGCCAAAATGTCGAAATTTCACATAGGAAAATCTCATAGAAAGTGTTTCCAGTGCTGCATCTCGTATTTACGATCAATTCGAACTTATATGTATCACAGGGAAAGTCTTCATTTCTGGGGTGAAAAACGCGATCATTTGATTTTCAAGAATTTTCCTTTGCTAATACTCATGTAAATCAGCTCTTACATATTACTCTACTCAAAAAGAGATGCCTGTGTCACTACAAAAATGAGTACTATTTGTACTCATTCAAGGTTATATATTTTTCCTTAACACTTGGGGGATTTTTGTACCAATCACAGATGATATTGAAATCACAGGTGATATCAAAATCCAATGCTGTTGGGCTTAATAGACCCTGCTGCCTATACCTTGCTGCCTATACCTTGCTGCCTATACCTTGCTGCCTATACCTTGCTGCCTATACCTTGCTGCCTATACCTTGCTGCCTACACCTTGCTGCCTATACCTGGCTGCCAATAATACGTTCTGCCTATAATACGTTCTGCTCTATACTATACCTTGCTGCCAATTGTTTATTGATCGCAATCATTGGGGAATGCCTTCTAAATATTATTTGACCCCAGTAGGCTATCATGCCTCCCACAACTCACTTGTACCCCCACGCTACTAGTTGCGCTTGGTTTAGCTTTCTCTTTCGACTGATGTAGAAGCTTCTTCCCTTTACTATATTGCCCTTCCTGCCTATCTAATCCTAGCTTCATTCTCTACGCTGCATTATTTTTGTAACAATAGTTTCAAGCATGCTATTGGCAGTTTTTATCAGTAGTTTTTTTTTGCGAAAGCATTTGATGCGCAACCTCCTCAAAACATTGCAAATAATTTTGATGAGCACTCATCAAATACAAATTTCTGATTGCAGTCAATGCAAAGTACTTTCATCTGCTGTTATGTGATTCAACAAATTGGTGTTTAGAAAAGAGCACAAACATCTTCCCCAACTGTGTAACTGTGTAGGTTGTGGAACAATCGAGTCGACTCACCAAATACTCTTTGTAAGGAAGCCAGAATCACTTTTCTATTTTCGTCCGCTATTCATCAAATGTTGAAAAACGACGCAGCTTATAAAATTGCTATGAGAGCCAAGAAAGCCACAGGAGAAGAAGCAAACAAGGAATCAAACAAAACGGTCATCAAGAAAATGCCAACAAATGCAGAGATAACCTTGAAGAGAATGACCAAATAACACGCAAACAACGCAGCCGCTCTACAACAAAGTCTCAGTTGATGAAGAAGAGCACAAAGACTGCACA